TTTGGCTGGGGATATAGCTCAGTACTAGAGCATTTGCCTATCATACACCAGGACTTGAGTTCAGTCCCCAGGGGAAAAAAATCCAAAAAACAAACAAAAGAACAACAACAAAGATTATTTTGTGTATTAAGAGAAAATAAGCATCTAGCCTTGCTAATAAATAAGTGCTTGAAAATGGTAGTTATATTGTTAGGTCTCATCTTCCTTATTATCTGGAAAGTTTGAAGGGTTTTTTCTTCTTTTTTAAAATTTTTAAAAATTTATATGGGACAGCAGAATACATTACAATTCTTATTACAAATATAGAGCACAATTTTTCATATCTCTGGTTGTATACACAGTATATTCACACCAATTTGTGTCTTCCTACCTGTATTTAATTTGAGGTTTTGATTGTGAGATTTTCTGATAATATTAGTTAATTTTATAAAGAACGAAGGCAGATGTATCCCTTAACAGATTTTAGTACAGTTGGAATTTGATCCTGATATATTGCCATAAGCTTAATCACTATGTTTCAGACTGTGTTCCTGGAGCATGATGCATGGAGATTATTTAGAGTGTATTTAATAATATGGTACAGTCTCAGAAATGCTATATATTCTACAATCTTCTTTGGGATTCATAATGTATATTATTAAGGACTCTAGTTAAAAACAAAAACCAAAAAACCCCCTTAACTTAGCATTTTCCAAACTTGTTATCCTAAGATCTCCTTGCTCCTCTTTACATAGTTAATTTTATGTATTGGAGTTTTATATATTTCAGTATTTATTTTATATACTCAGTCTCATCTATTTAAGAAAGTTTAAATTGAGATAGAATTCAGATACTAACAATTTCACCATTTTAGAATATTCCATGCTTTTTAGTGTATTCATAAATATATGCAATCATCACTTTATCTAATTGTAATGTTTCCTGAGCCCCAAAAGAACTCTCTTCTTAGTTAGTAGTCACTTCCTTTCTCCTCCTTTCCCCCTAGCAACCAGTAATATACTTTCTGTCTAAATGTATGCCAATTCTGGACATTTCATATAAGTAGAATTATATAACATGTGGCCTTTTATGTCTGACTTTTTTCACTCAGCAACATGTTGTCAAGATTTATCCATGTTGTAGCCTGTGTCAATGTTTTATTCCTTTTTATGGCTGAATAATATTCCATTTTTTGATATCTCACATTTTATTTATCTAATCATTAATTGATGGAAGTTAGGATTATTTCTGCTTTTTGACTTTTGTGACTAAGGCTGCTATGAACATTTCATGTGTATATATATTCTCATTTCTCATAAGTACATGTCTGGAGGTGGATATGGGAGTCGTATGACAACTCTGTTTAACTTTCTGAGGAAGTGCTAAATTGTTTTCCAAAGCATTCTCCAGAACTGAAATTCTGTACCCAGTAATTAAAAAATTCCCCGTTCCCTTTTCCCCTCAGTCTTTGGCAACTACCATCCCACTTTTGGTCTCTCTAAATTTGATTACTTTAGGTACCTCATTAAAGTGGAGTTATACAATAGTTGTTCTCTTGTTTCTGGCTTAAGTCATTTATCATGTTTTTAAGATTCATACATGTTAGCATGTATTAAACTTTCTTTTAAAGGCCAAATAATAATCCATTGTATGTGTAAATCACAATTTTATCTATTTATCCATTGATGAACATTTAGATTGTTTCTACCTTTTGACTATTGTGAATAATGCTGCTATGAACCTTGTTGTTTAAATTATCTTGAGTCTTTGCTTTTAATTCTTTTGTATGTATATCCACAAGTGGAATATTGGCTCAAATGGTCATTGTGTGTTTGGTTTTTTAACTTTGTTCCGTTTGTTTTATGTGTGTGAGGTACATGGTAAATTAATCTAAAGCAGTTCTTTTATGCCACTTTATTCTGAGGTAAAAATGTTAGTAGTACTTCCTAGAAGTATAATTTATGTACTCAAAATATTCTACTTAAAAGTGTGTCAGTTACAAAGTAAAGAAGACGTCTTGAAGCAGAATATAAGATTTTTAAAAAATATTTTTTAGTTTTTGTCTCTAGAAGGTAGGAATCAACCTTTACTCCTTGCTGTGCTTACTATGTGGTAACAATGTATAGAAAGAAACAGATAAGGGAGTATTAAATTCTGTTTACTTCTTTTAAAGTGTGTAGCTTAGTGGTCTTTCTTCAATACCATCTCCAAAGGAGGTAATTCCTGAGTTTTAGATAAAGTTGTCTAACTAACCAAGGAAAGAAAGTTTGTCTTTGGAGCCCAACCAAGGGTTTTTGATCTATCTATCTATCTATCTATCTATCTATCTATCTATCTATCTATTTATTTATTTATTTATTTATTTATTGTTGTTCTCTTTTGTTGTGAAAGAAGTCTTATTAAAGAATAGATTCTGTTGATCTATAACTTATGTTTTGTTAGGAAGTCTCATTTTAGTATAATTGTGCAGAATTGGCCATAGACAGATCCTAGAAGGTAGAATAGGCATTTTCGAGTTGAATTTCTAAAAGAGGTACAAAGCTAATATACATGGCAATGAAAATTCCTGCTTATTGCCATGGTTCTATGTTAGAAAGGATTTGCAAGTTTTGTTACTGTGTAGTTTAAAAAAATATATATATATATATTGCTATGTATTGATGTATAACTTAGCCTCTAAGTCTTTTTCTATAAAATACAAAGGCTAGGAAGAATGTTGTCTACTCATAGTCCAGAGAGGTAAAGAAGACGTTTTGAAGCAGAATATAAGATTTTTAAAAAATATTTTTTAGTTTTACATGGACACAATATCTTTATTTTCTTTGTGTATCTTTATGTGGTGCTGAGGATCAAACCTAGTGCCTCCCATGTGTAAGGCAAGTGCTCTACCACTGAGTCATAACCCCAGCCCCAGAATATAAGATTTTTAAAAGATAGAAGTCAATGTAAAATTTATGTGAGAATACTAATTGTTATGGATATGTTAGTGGTTATCACATAAGGGTATGTAAATTATAATTTATTTTGCATGATTTTTGCTATTAAAAGGCCAGTTAAGCAGAACGGGAAATTGACAAAATTGAGAGAGTTAAATAGAAGTTAACTATTAAACTATCTTCTCTCCTTAAAGCCTTCTGTGCCCTTGCTGGGTAAAATGAATTTCTCCCTCCAGCCTGCTTTGTTCCACCTAATCGTTGTGCTTATCTCCCTTAACTTTGATTGTGAGCTGCTTTAGGGCAGAAATGTCATATCCTACTGTGTATTTTAATCATCTCACATAATTGCTTACACATAGTAGATCTTTTAAACATTGTTTGAGTCTTTTATTATGATACTTGCATAAATATAATAAAATGGGAAGAAGCAACTACTGTAGTTATCAAAAGTAATAATCTAAATCAGAGTTAGGATGTGGCCAAGGACAGAGGAAACCCATAAGATTGAAACCAGAGAGTAGATTTTAAGGTTTCATGGGATGCATCAAGTTATTTCCTTATCTCATTTTCTAACTGTGACTCTGGCCTATGGTCTGAAATTTATTTGTTTATTTAGCAGACATTAAAGCATGAAGTTGTGGGATGATGGAAGCTTACAATTAATAAAGCACAACAGAGGCATGGGTATATTATATTGCTCTATGAAAGAGGGAATGCGGGCAAATCTTCATAGAAGATAATATTTTAGCTAAATCAGAGAAGGGAGAGTACTTCCTGCCAAGCAGATAGTCTGAGAGGCTTAGCCAAACACAGTTGTAGAGTCCAGGCAGAGAAAGAGGGGATGCACATGGTCCATATGTAACAAGTTCTGGGAAATAACGTGGGGACCTTACTATGAGTAGTCTTATTTCTGTATTTGCCTCTTTTATCTTCTTTTTGCATTGTTTCTTGGAGTTTTTGCTTTAATAGTTTTTTTATTAATAGTGGGGAGCAAGGGAGGTATTTTACATAGCTGAGTGACATAAACAGAAGTATGTTAGTATGCAGTAGAGGGCAGATTCTGGAGGTAAGAAGATGGTTTTGGAGGCAGTTGGAGTAAGTCCAAGCAAGAGATGTGTTCCTATTGTATGCTTCCATTTACATGAGATATGCATAGGCAAATTTAGAAGGTAGATAAATTGGAAAGTATTGGTGGTTGCCAGGAACTGGAGGTAAGGTGTGATAGGGAGTGGCTACTAATAAATAAAGGGTTTCTTTTTGGGGTGATGACAATATCCTATCACAGTAGTGATTATTGTATATCCTTATACAATATTATATTTAAAACCACTGAATGTATACTTTTAAATAGTGACTTTTTAAAATTTTTGGTTGTACTGGGGTCTGAACCCAGGGTCTTGCACATGCTAGGCAAGTGCTCTACCACTAAGCTACATCCTAGTCTCCCAACCCTTTTTATTTTCTTCTGAGATAGGATCCTGCTTTTGAACTTGTTGTCCTCCTGCTTACCCTCTTGAACAGCTGGAATTACAAAGAGGTGCTGGTATGCTTGTTGAAATGGCGAATTTGATAACATGCAAAGTATATCCCAATTTAAGAAAAGGCAAGGTGGAAAAAGAGACAGAAAGAGACTATATAGAATGTATGTAGAGTTCCTGAAAAAAGTATGGTTTGAGAGATATTCAATGATGGAGAATTGGTATCATTTAGAGACCGAATATTGTCAATATTCAAAATGAAATAGTAACTGTTTTTGAAATTTCTAGTTTTGTGTGATTGAATTGATGGGGAAAGAAATGCTAGAAAAAGATCATTTTGGAGACATATGTAGTGAACTGTTTGAAATATGTTAAATGTGTAAGCAAGGTAGGCCATTAAAGATAATAATCTAGCTGTGAGGAGAGACTTTGGAACTAGAGAGAGAAACAGATGTATAGAAGTTGACTGAAGAGGCCAGTCAAACTTGCTGACATTTTCCAACCCTCCTTTAGAAAGTCATATTCCTTTTGTTTCGTATCCTCAAATGTGGTATACAAGTTGTTTTTGTTTTTGTTTTGTAAAGCTGAGTTTTATGTTACTTTTCAGGCAGAGGCAAGGCTAGCAGCAAAACGCGCTGCCCGGGCAGAAGCAAGAGATATACGCATGAGAGAACTGGAACGACAACAAAAAGAGGTAATTTGGAGAAATAGAACCATAATTTCATGCTTACCTCCCCCCACCCCCAAATCAATACTTGGCCCGTTTAATTCTGATTCCTTTTGAAACACTGGGAATAGTCTAACTTGCTATATGTGTTTTAATAAGCCATTCTGTGTTAATCAATGAAATGTAATATTTGTTTTAAATAATAAATGATTTTGTTTTTTGTGTATGCATTGTTAGAATAAGTGCTTTACTTATGTTCACTAAAGTAGGTGTGGAGATGACAAAACTATTTAGTATACCCCTAAATGTCCTAGTATTTGGATTAATTGTGATATCTGTATAGTAAAACAGTGACAGATCAGTCTTATAATTTTGAGACATTTAATAATCATTAAAAATATTCATGTAAAAAAATGAAAAGAAAAAGAAAAACAAGTGAAACTGTAAAACTGATAGGACCCAATTTTGTGTTACAAAAATTAGTACCCATCTATAGGGTCAACTTTCTAGAAAGAATATTGATGACTGTCAACACTTTAGTTTGACTGTATTGGAGTTATGATTGATTTTACATACTTTTTTTTCCTAGCTTACAAATTTTTGATAAGCTATTATCATCAGAAAAGCAGAAAAAGGCTTATGGAAATTGAACTGACTAAAATGAAATACTTTTTATGCTTTCCTTCTGACATTGACTTGGCCCTAAAAATCCCCATAAAAATATTTTTGATATTGTATTAGTATAAGGGGGAAACGCACTTTTGTTTTATGTTAGTGGTGGATTTTCTGCTAGTGAGTTAAAAAGAAATTTATGTATTCTATGTTTTATCATAGTTCAAAAACAAAAACAGTTGATGTTGCTAATTTTTTTAACCTCATAAAGTTTCAAATATCAAATAGAAATTTTGACTGAAAATGGAAATGTTACAATGTATTATCTTTTATATTCACAGGATTTTACTAAAATATAAACAGGAAACAGTTATTACATATAAGTTCAATTTATGATCTTCTAAACTTCAGAAAACCATGCATCTTTCTATTATTGAACATATTTAGCTTCGTAGTTTTGTATAGGTGAATGTGTAATTTTTAGTCACCTATCATGTTCTTTAGGGCAAATATGTATGAATAAGAATTTTTTTGGAGAGTACAGTGTTTTGGAAACTGTTCAGTTATGAAACTTTTGCATTTGTAGCACTCTCATCATTCCTTTGACAAGAAATGGGGACAGATTCACAAGTGGCTGGTAGGCTAGAATTGCCTGTCCTGCATGTTGTGATAAGTTGCTGACATAATGCAGTTTTGAAGTAAAACATTGACTAATAGTTTGCAAAGTAGAAGTGTTTGGCCTGTGTGAACCTAAAGGTCATGAAATATCTGTTCTGGCTGAAGTGGACCAAATGTGTACTTGGAATCCAACCATTTTCTGTTGTGATCAGCAACTTCACTTTCGTTTCATGAGTGCCTCTGAAAAAGAAAGATTGAGAAAATGAATGCTTGTTTTCTTCTTATGGGTTTGTCCTTTTCTTCTTCATATCCTTCCTTTCCCCCATCCTCTTTAAGAAAACTGAGTCCCTCGGGTCTCCGTGAAGAGATGACATAAGTCATTCTTCCATGTTCCCTGAAAACGATTCTTTTTAGCTCGGCTCTCTCAGCTCCTTTCCAAGTCCTTTACCACAGCTTCCAGGTTTGTTAGCTCTAAAAGCAATTCGTATATCAGTAAAAGTTATTGTGAATCACTCCTATATTTGAATGTTTTTCAAAGTTTTTTAGTTCTCTGTCTCTTTTTGTAAGGGTTCTGAACTTGGTATGTGACTGAACTTGGGAGGTAGAATATAAAACCTTAAAATCTCATGCAGACTTTTGGTAGTATATGTAGACATTGAAAGTACGTATAGTTTTTTGTTTTTTTTTTCACAGTGCTGGGGATTGAACTCGGGGCTTTGAGTGTGTACTAGGCAAGTACTCTTTCCACTGAATACCCCAAGACCAGAAGTATATGTATTTTTATGGGAAGTGTTCACAGGTATTTTTATCATAAGAGAAAGTCTGTGACTCCTGCAGGGTTAAAAATCATTGTCTGATTGCTGATAAACAAGCAGCTTCCATAAGCAAATTTCTCCTATAGCAGCATTTTAAGGTATAACCAGAATTAAAATATTTATAATGCAATGACCCTTGAACTTAAACCTTTATCATAATTCTCATTGAGATATTGTTTTATAAAAGAAAGAAAAAAGATGCTTGGTAACTTTAAATTGCATGATTCCTTATGGATGTGTTTGTTATTTTGGAGTGGAGTTTGTTCCTGATTGTAACTAAAGCTAGCCTAATTAATTTATTTATTTAATATGCCTTCTGTGGGTTAGTATTATTGTTGATGCATTAAAAATGATTCATGTAAATAAAACAAATCACTTAATTGCAAATTTTCCCAGGAAAATTAGCTTTATTTGTTGTTTAAATTGTGTATTATCATTCTAAAGTTAAATGGCCAAAGCTTTTAATGTTATAGAGCAAACCAAAAAAAAAAAAAAATTAAACAAAAATAGAAAAGCATATATTAGAAATCTAATATTTGATTTGTATATTCAAGGACCATGAAAATCTCCCCTAACTTTAATACTTTTTTGTGTGAGACTGATTTGTTGGAACATGAATTAGGGAACAAAAGGACATGGGGCTCAGGGACTCAGCAATGAAGCTAACTTGAGAAACCCCTGTGCATCAATCAGTGTGCTGTATTAGTGCTTTTTATCTAGGTTCCATTTCACATTTTAATACAGGTAACACTATTTCCATTTTATAGATGAGAAGATAAAGGATTGTTAAAGTAGATAACTTGCTGTATAGTTCTTGGCAGAGTTGGAATTTTCAAGGTAGAGAGTGCCACAGCTGCCAATAGTTTGCAAAGTGACACAACCAGGTGGAGCCTACATTTTCCTGGGCTTCCAGATAATCTTAGTTTAGCCAACTTTCAATGAACCTAATCATTCTGATTTTAAATCTGTTGTCTTTAATCAGTAACATGTTGGTGTAAGTCTGGAAGGAGTAGATGCAGTTACTAATGTTTTCCAATTTGAAACTGAAGGAGTGACTAGCCTGAACTTAGAAAATTTAATTTGTTGATAGAGAAGATAGTCAAATTCATGGGGGCCGTGGTTTTCTTTCTTTTTTTGGGGGGGGGAGGGAACAAGGGATTGAACTCAGGGGCACTCAACCGCTGTGCCACATCCCCAGCTCTATTTTGTATTTTATTTAGAGACAGGGTCTCACTGAGTTGCTTAGCACCTTGCTTTTGCTGAGGCTGGCTTTGAACTTGTGATCCTCCTTCCTGAGCCTCCCAAGCCACTGGGATTATAGTTGTGTGCCACCATGGCCTGGTTTATGGTTTTCTTTTAATGAAACCATTTCATACTCACTTCAAGTGAACTTTTCCAAAACATAGTATGTTTTATTTTTATAAGTTGAATTTAAATTTATTAAAACATTATTTACCAGATCGTTTGGAACAATATACATCCATCTTTTACAACATCATTCTATCAACTCAGGTTTCTTTAATCATAAGGAGGATTCCTGAAGTAATGACAATGTGTGTTGCTTTCCTTGACTATGCAAGAAAGGGATACTCTGCCTTGTAATTCGTTCCTAAAAACACGGTTTACTGTAATTTATATTTGGCCAGTGGTGCTGTTAATTCAAGAAAAGCCATTGGTAGTTAAATCCTACTCTAGAAATACTTGGGAGATGAAGCTTTTTGTTCTTCCAGAAAAGGAGGAGTTTTGAGTAAAAACCAGAATACCTTACCACCACCTGGCTCCTTGGAATTAATGAAGAATTAGCTAGTGTAGGATGGTATCTTTAAGATTCAATGGTCTGGTGAGCCTGAGGATCTGTATGCCTGTCCCAGGTTTATGACTTTGCAGATGCTTATTTAATCTTTCTTTTTATTTTTTAAATATAATTCTTTTTAGTTGTTGATAGATCTTTATTTTATTTATTTATATGCAGTACTGAGAATCAAACCCAGTGCCTCACACACGCCAGGCAAGTGTGCTTCTGCTGAGCCACAGCTCCAGCCCTCTTACTTAATCTTTCTGTGGTATAACTTTCCTTCCTGTAAAATGAAGGGATCAGACTACGTGGTCTCTAAGAACCCTTTGAACTCTTAAAAATAATTATAGAGATGTTACTAGAGTCTTTTACACAAGGGTTTCCTTCTGTTTGCTACTATGCAAAAGTTTTCAAAGTATGAGGAGTAATTAAAATTTTCCCGCGTGCTTTCTTTGCCTAATATAAGAGAGGTGATACTTGGCAGACTCTTGGTAGATTCTTGGTAGACTCTGGGTAGAACATGTGTTTTGAATGTTTTTGGTATAATAAAAGTTTCTTTGAGCTTGCCTTACTATTTTACCTGAACATTTATTTTTTAGTTAGGTTTAGAGAAGTTCTTCTGTTCAGTGTGGTAGCCACTAGTCACGTGTAGGTGTTAAATTTCAATTTAAATTGACCAAAAATAAATACAACTTAAAATTTAGTTTCAAGTGCTCAGTAGACAAATGTGGCTACTAGCTATCATGTAATGAGAGCACAAATAAAGAACACTTTCATTCTCTCAGAAAGGGCTCTTGGATAGTGCTTATTTAAGGTATAGTTTATGATTATGGGAATAAACTGTATTCTCTCTTCAAATTGCCTGGCCTATATGGGAGTTATGTTTTCTTTTCAGTCTTCTGATGTCTCTTTAAGCAAGGCTTTCAAATGGAGCTAAATGAAAAGCTGTTCATTTTTTTTTTGTGTATGGTGCTGGGATTGGATCTGGGACCTGGTGCTTGCTTGCTAGGCAAGTATTCTATTGCTGAACCACACCCCCAGCCCCCAAACTGTTTAAATATAGAGGTATATCTGAACTTCATAAGGTATTTAAATTAATTTGGAATTATAATAAGAATTGAAAATAAATATGAATTCAACTGTCTTTGCTGCATCTTTGATGGAATATGCTTTTTAGATTTTTTTTTAAACAAATACTCCTATGTGGTTGGTACAGTGAGAAGAAAGGCTAACATAAAGTGAAGCTTGAACATTAAACCTTAAACATTACTGTAATACCCAAAATAACATTGAGAGGTGCATGTAGAATTAATTTCGCTGAGAGGTGCATGTAGAATAAATTTGCCTCCTGGTTGGTTAAACTAACCAAGTTAACCAGACTGGTATTGGTTATTGTTTAAGCTGTATACCCTGCCAGGCTAATGCATATACTCCCAAAACTTTTGTGGTGTAACTGGATAAAGAAAATGAAGAAATATGCTTGATTCCTGTATGTGTCTGTTGTATAGCAGAAAATGTGAATCTAAAGATCAGAACACTGGATTGGAAATTGAAACAATGAATCATAATGGTGCTTATGAATACATGTCAGAGCAAATTTGATCAATTTGGCAATGTACATAGCAGATGTCAACCAGGATATTTTTGGAATTATACTCAAAGATCATGACCAAAAAGAGATAATATACTATTATGTTTTGATTGAATTACTGTTTCTATTTTGAAATGAACAGTCATATATACCCCCATGTATTTGTTCTACTTATGAAATGATCATGCTGGATTGCCATGAGGTGTTGTGGCATTGATTGTTTTTGGGAAAGATATTGTGAATATTGACAGAAGTGAATCTACTTAAGACATTTTGTGTAGACTTTTAGTGTAAATTACTTTAATACTTTGACTTTGAAATTATGAAATATCAGAAATTCCTTTTGGTTTTAGGTGACAATATTCTTAGGGCTAGCCATTTGATTTCACATGTGTCAGGCTTTAGTGCTCCATTGCTAATAACAGAATAGGGAAAATTTAGAATTATGTATGCTTTAGTCAACTAATGTTAAGCTATAGTCAATCTTTATAAACCACATCAAGTATGACTTGAGATAATTTAATCAACTTTAAAATATGTGATTTTTTTCTAAGCATAAGTAGTTTTTTTTTTCTTTTACTTTGTTTTTGTTTTTGTTTTTATTTTTTGGTACTAGAGTTTGAAGCTTCTACCACTGAGCTATAGCCCCAGCCCATTTTTATATTTGGGATAGAGTCTTACTAAGTTCCCAAGGCTGGCTTCAAACTTGTGGTACTTCTATCTTAGCCTCCTTAGTCACTGGGACAATAGGTGTGTGCCATCACACCTGGCTAAACATCTATTTTTAATGCTGAGCTCAACATCTGTTAAGTATAACTGTGTATATTTATCTTGGTGTATTGAGCTCTTTTGGTCATATGTAGATAGTATCTTATATGTGGTTAGTTGTACATACATATGATAAAAATTGCCAACATTATTTCTGCTTTCTAACCAAAGCATGCAATTGCCACAAACTCAGCTTTTAAAGTGAAGTTGTCCAAACCTGCCTGCGCTAAGATGTTGTACTGTTAATTTACTGATTTTTGCTCCATTTTTCTGATAAAACACCTGTCTGTTTAGTGAATAACCTTCCATGTACTTTCTCCTTTCCCAGGAAGATTCCGAAAGGGCCAGGTATTCGCACCGGTCCAGTCATCACCGTTCTTATCTGGTTTGTAATAACATATAAACTTGCCCCTAATGCTTTTCTTCATTAATTTAATGTAGTCACTCACAGATTTGTACTGTTTATTTTTATTTTTATCAGGGAGTTGAGGATACATTGTCCTTCCGAAGTCCTGGAAGTCACAGGGTTGGTATTTTAAGTTGTTTACATACCATAGTAGCAAAGCTTTTATGTGTGAGCTTGCTTCAGAATCAGTGATTATATAAACAATCAGATAGTGTTCATATATTCTTTTTCCTTTTTTTTTTAAAGTGGAAATATTATCAAAGTTATTTCACTGGAAAAAAAAGATGCTTTCTCTCAAATTATTGCTATAAGTAAATCATTTTTAAAATCTTGAATATTTTCATCTATTAACATATCTATTCTATCTATTTTTCTATAGAAGGCCCTTTGATTTCAGAAAATTATCACAAAATAATAAGATTGATTTTATAGAATAATATCTGATTGGGTCTGACTTTTAGATTTCTCCTGCTTTCATATTTTCTTCTTTTTTTTTTTTTTTTCTGTATTGAGGGTTGAATCCAGGGGCACTCGACCACTGAGCCATATCCCAGCCCTAATTTACATTTTATTTAGAGACAGGGTCTCAAAGAATTGCTTAGCCCCTCACTTTTTGCTGAGGCTGGCTTTGAACTCATAATCCTCCTGCCTCAGCCTCCCCAACTGCGAGATTTCAGGCATGTGCCACTGCGAATGGCCTACTTTCATATTTTAAAAAGTGACAGTTTATTAAATGGGAAGTAGCTTTGAGGCTTGGGTGGCTAATTACAATTTTATTACTTGAAAAATTTGAGCTGTTGATTTAAAAAATTCTTTGCTTTTTATATGTATAGGAATTATGCTTTGACATTTTGATTAATAGTTTATAGAATGTTCTGGTGTTTTAGCATAAGTTATTAAAAATCAAAAGAAATGAGAATTTGCTCCTTAAATACTTGCATATTGTGCTTAAACACTCATCTCTCTTTTCTTAGGGAATTATGCTTTATAGTAAAGCAATGCTTTCAATTTTTACAGTGACAATGCCATATATACATTTTATATTTTTTTACATATAGATTTTTCATTAGTAAAATGATTTTTCTCATTACTTTCCCCCAACTCTTAATTTTTCTTCCTATTTTTTATAATGTGTAATAATAAGTATGTTCTGACATGTTATTGATATCTTTGTATTCATAAATAGTTTATTATGCTGGTTGTTTTTGTTTTTGTTTATGAATGTAATCTTTTTTTTTAGAGTAAGTGCATAGGCTAATTTTTGAATCATGAATATTTTGGTTAGTTACAAATTTTTTAGAATTTTAAGAATATTAACAAATCTTCAAAAAAGTCCAAGATAATCAGTGGCTTAAAGTGGTTTTTCAAGGCCGGGTGTGGTGGTGCATGCCTGTAATCCCAGCGGCTTGGGAGGCTAAGGTAGGAGAATCTCAAGTTTGAAGCCAGCCATAGCAATTTAGTGAGGTGCTAAGCAACTCAATTAGGTCCTGTCTCTAAATAAAATACAAAATAGGGCTGGGAATGTGGCTCAGTGGTAGAGTGCCGCTGGGTTCAATCCCTAGTCCAAAAAAACCGTGGATTGTTTTTCAGAAAGAAAATGCTTTCTTAATGCTTTTCTCTGGAGATACTTTAAAAAAATACTTTGAAAAGAATCGTGTAGTGAGTTAACAAACACTTCAAAGTTGAATGTCAGGGGCTATGAAAATAATCCCCCCCTTTTTAAAATAGAGGTATTTTTAGTTGTATATGGACACAACACCTTTATTTTCTTTTTGTGTGGTGCTGAGGATCGAACCCAGTGCCTCACGCATACTAGACGAGTGCTCTACCGCTGAGCCGCAACCTAAGCCCTGACTCCTTGTTTTTAATGTATGACTTTTTACTTTGTTTTCTATTATGTTTATAGTGTGAATTTTCACATATTTGGTATCAGGCTTTTTCTTTGTAAATTTGTATGACATTAGGGAAACTCGATTATGTTAGTTTAACTTAAATGGCAAAAATCTACCAAGTTTGACTTAAATAAACAAATAACAAATAAACAGAAAAGAAATCTACCATTAAGCTTCTAGGGTGGTATTTACCTAGAGTGTCTGTAGACTAATGAAGTTGATTTTGTGTGTGTGTGTGTAAATTGTATTAGTAAACAAATGTAAGGATAATTTTAACTCACCAGTTTTTGTGGTACTAAGGATTAAACCCTGAAGTGCTTTACCATTGAGTGACACCCACAACCCTTATTATTTTTAATTTTGAGACAGGGTCTTAATGAGTTACTGAGGTTCTTGCTAAATTGTTAAGGCTGGCCTCAAACTTGTGCCTGCCTCAACTTACAGAATTGCTGGGATTATAGGTGTGCCATTGTTCCAGGTCAGTTTTTCCCCCCACCATAATAATTAATGAAAATCTATTACTATGGGATAAAGTTCTCGATATTTAAAAAAAAAATCAATGTGTGAACTTGAAGAGTAATAGAAGTTTTACACCCCAGAGGAGACTATGGTACTCTGTTATCTCTAAGTGTATACATTAAACACACTGGAGATATGTGGACATTCCCAGAAATAAGTCAGAATGCTCACTCATTACATTGTTTAAAAGAAATTCAATTGAGTTTTTTCCTGTTTTAACTAGATAATATTGGGAGTTCTAAGTTTTCGTAAGATTGTTTGCTTTTTGGGGGGACAGGGTGCTGGGTGTGGACTGGACATGTTAAACATACATTCTACCACTGAGCTACACTTTCAATCTCTGGTTATTTGCTTTTTAAAATAGCTATCTGCTTAAGCTGAATGTTAGACAACTTTTGTCCTCTGTGTAAATAAATGTAATAAATGATGGCCAAATTTTCTTCTACTTCACCATATAATTTTTTAAAATATTTGTTTTAGTTGTAGATGAACACAATATCTTTATTTATTTATTTTTATGTGGTGCTGAGGATTGAACCCAGTGTTACACATGTGCGAGGCAAGCACTCTGCCACTGAGCCACAACTCTAGTCCTTTGCCCCCCCCCCCTTTTTTTTTAAATTTACTTACAAGCTATGTATTAGGAGGTCTAATACTTTTTTGAACCTCATATTTGGTGTGAGAACCTTAATAGGATCTGGATGTGAAGCAGCTGCATTTATGATTTTATCCTTTTGTTCAGTTATCTTCGAGGTGACTTGCCAGAAGCTATTTGAGCTGGAAATGTTGGTGTTAATATTATAGATTTAGTATTTAAAAAAAAGCAAAATTAGTTTAAGACTGTGAATGGTAGGGTTAAGGGAGGGAGAATAAATCAAAACCTCAATTTATTATTGTGACAATCTGTATCTATTAGTTATATGTAATGATGAGATCATTAGCAGTGTGGAATATTAGTGGCTGCCTTAAAATTAATCTTAAAAATGCTTGGTTATGATCAGCTCAGTGGTACATGCCTGTAATCTCAGCAACTCAGGGGGCTGAGGCAGCTGGATCACAAGTTTGAAGCCAGCTTCTACAACTTAGACCTTGTTTCCAAATTAAAAATTAAAAGGGCTGGAGATATAGTTAAGTGTTCAAGTATCCTTGAGTTCAGTTCCAGTATTGAAGATGGGGTAGAAATGCTTGGTTATTGGTTTGTGTATTGAAATACTAGAGGGCAATAAGGTAGAGATCCAAAATTAGAGAATGATATGATCTTGAATTACACTGGGAGAAATAATTGCCATTTCTTGTGGGTAAAGATTTTTACTTTTAGTTTCTATTTATATGTTAATAGCCTTGATATAATTTCAATGAATTTAGTTTTAAAAATATCCTTATATTTTATTTTTTGTCATTTACTGCTATACTGTCTAATATTACTAAAGAACCCATCAAAGGATATTACTGGGACACTTTGGAGCAGAACCAGTACACCGAAGAGGAGAGACATCATGGTGTGTAATCCAGAAATGTGTGGTGATAGAGTTCTGTACATTCATTGATTTTTAGTGTCCTGGGGTTTGAGTAATAGGTGCATTCTGATAAAAACTGACACTTGCTGAACTTTGTTTCTACAACCTTTTGCTCTATTTTATTTTGTTTCCATGTGAAAATTTTCAGGCAGGTTTCTCTTGAAAGTTGGAGGGTTTTTTTTTTTTCTCTCTCTTTTAAATAGATTGTAATAGCAAATACGGAAATGTTTTAACTAGCACCCTTAATATCCTCAATTTTCCTTCTTTTGACACATCATTTGTTTTTAAGCAACATAAATAGCAACTTTCACTTATTAAGCAAAACTCTTTTCTTTGCCCAGTTGTTCTGGTGGCAGTTATGATGTATACCCCTACTAGATAGACTGAGCAGTTTTAAAACCAGCCGAACTTTTGCATTATATTTTGGAGAAAGAATTGAAACAGATAAATTTTTCAGTTCAGTTTGTTAAAATCTATTCCTATGCAAAATGCAATTGGTACAACAAAGAGTATAAGATATGTCCTTTCTCTTCGCTGAATTTATCTTGTTGATGAGATAGAATCATTTATATGTTAGAGATGTGATTTGAGTAATGTTTTTTGAGCCATGGATTTTTTTTTAAACTAAAGGTATTTTAGTTATACTAAAGGTTTATCTTTTTAACTTAAGATATTTTAATTGAGGAAAAAAAGCAAATGAAACTTCTGTAGAAAAGGAACTTTATTTTCTGAGAAACATCTCTCACCATGAAGTCATATTTTACCATTGAACATCATTTACAAATGCACACCTGTATGCATTTTAGAAAATTTTGTTACATATGCAACAATAACACTCCTTATTGTTTGCTTTTCTGCTACTTTCAGAATAAAAGAAAAAGCACACACATGTAGATAATTTGCTCAAGTATTTTTTGATATAGCAATAACATTTTTAATAATTTTAAACCAATGGTAAAATTGTTCCTCCTAACCTAATACTTTATGAATTGCATTTTTTGATGTTTCTGCCATCTGTGTTGTAAATGACCAATTTATTATGCACGAAGGGTGTGACTTTGTTCTGTTCATACTATTATATTAATGCTATATAAGAAGTAGATTGTATAGTCTGGTCTTCTAATATATTTTAAGCTTTTTAGAATTGCAGCCGTTACAATAAGAAATATTTTTTATATCATGATCTAGTATATAATGCAGATTGCTGGATGTGTGTATATGAATATACAAATATATGAAAAATATTATTGAAACAAAAGTTTCACAAAATAATGTTAACTTTTACTGTGCTCAATGCTTTCTAATATTTTATCTTCTAAAATGGTAGTTGAAACCACTAAATTGATTTCATGACTGGCTTGTAACCTGTAATTAGGAAAACATTACTTTTTTTGATTAGCATTCTATAAAATGCTAAATGGATGTAAGAGTTATAAAGGTTTTTTTTTTTTAACCAAACAATTAGTGTTTAAAATAATTGAAGAACTTGTTCATTGCAGTTATTTATTTTATACATTGACATGCTGGGTAAGATGACTTTAAATATGTAAGCTAGAAGGCTTAAAAAATGTTAGGAAACCACCATTTTGTGTAATTACTGTTTACTTCATTTTTCTTGGATTTGAAATTTGGTATCACACATACTATCTTATTTTTATATTTGTGGTTTTTATTTTTTTTAAACATTTATTTATTTATTTTGTGTAGTGCTGAGGATTGAACCCAGTGTTTTGCGTGTAGTTTGGCAAGCACTCTACCATTAAGTTACATCCTCAACCCTTACTTTTTTAAAGGACCCTAGATTAATTGTGGATTTTGTGGTTTTTATCATGAATTTTGTATATTTTATTTGATTTATATTTAATGTCACATTTGTATTGTATTCTGTGCATTCCATATTTTGCTATGACCAAGTTTCTCACATTGTTTAGCATTTTCTTGAGGAAGGAAGTTTATCAGGTGTGTGTTTAGAGTAGATCTGAGGGAATGCTCTGCATTTTGTTGCTGCAGTGGTTCTTTTGTAAGCCTGGTCTTGCCTCATTGCCTGTTCATTCCCTGCTTTTGCCATTTTTCAAATAGTGGGAAGTGATAGTAATAGTCATGTAACTAAAAGTATCATTGACTTCAGTATATGCAATCCATACTTTTGAAGGCTCCCTTAGGTTTTGTGTTATAATATACTGAGATTGAATCATCTCACCATTACTGATTATGAATTTGATATTTGAAAGAAAAATAAATTGTTTCTTATTGATAGTTTTTAAGAGGTGGGGATTTTAAGATATTTGCTCTATTGCCTAGGCTGGCCTTGAACTCCTGGGCGTAAGCATTCCTTTATTGAGCCTCCTGCATAGCTGGGACTATGAATGTGATCCACTGTGCCCATCTTTGAACATACATTTGTAATTACACATACAGTTCAGCAATAACTTATACTAGGAAAGATTAAGGGGAAGAGAATTCTTTAATTCAAATGTAATAGCTTTTGTATTTGATGATTTTTTTTTGTCTTTAAAATAATGCTGGATTTTAACCTGCAAATGTTACTTTTCCCCCACCTTCTTTTTTATATTCTTTACTTTGGAAATACAACCATTCTTTCATCTTTTCCTGAAATCAAGTATGATACTCTCAAGGATAGATCATCAAGACTTTCATCATTAGTATGTAGTGCATGACTTTGTGTTAAGTGTGGAATTTTGCTTCATAAACACCAATTATTAGTAAACATAGATTATGACTAACTTTCATGGTTTTCTTATGATTTTCTGGGGAAAATGTGTGATTAACAAGCAAAAATTATTGTAATGGTGGCATAATTTATTATGTAAATAGTGATTTTTTTTTCTTTAGAATTTCTAGTATATATAAAAATGTTTTGATTCCCTATTCAAGATTAAGATTGGTAGTAATATTATTTCTTAAAATAGTGAACCACTCCCTTAATAACACTCATTGCCCTGGAGGACATGTTTCTAACAGTGTTTGATTCACATTCTGCTCCCCAGGCTTGTTTCCTGTTATGTGTCATGAGCTAGCGGGCATGAGGTTGGTGAATAGAAAGTATCCAGCAGTGATAGATGATATTTTAGGCATTAATGATGTTCAGGCATTTTGGCTTGATTTGGTAATGTCATATTAGTTAAATAGTTAAGCTATAGATTGTTTTCCTGGTGTTAATATTAGGAAAGCAGGTTGCTCGAGTTTCTAGATACCTAGACATCTCTTAAAATAGTCACACTAATGTATAGAAGGAAAGGTGCATGTTCAATAATAAAAGAAAACTGGGTTTATAATTATTGATTCAGGATCTAGCTGTGCATGTCAAGTAGTTTTTCTAGAGCAGTCTGTTGACTTTTTTTAATTTTAATTTTTTAATATATATTTTTAGTTGTTGGACACAATATCTTCATTTTATTTTTTATTTGCTATTTATAGTTATATAGTTGTTGGCTGTTGATAGACACACTTTACATACCTATATATTTATATATATTTATTTTATGTATATATTTATATATGTACATTTATGTATGTATATGTATCTCTTTATATATACACACACATATACATTTTTTTTTAGGCACTAGGACTTGAACTCAGGAGTGCTCAACCACTGAACTACATCCCCAGACTTTTAAAATTTATTTTATTTTTAGATAGTCTGGCCCAGGCTGACCTTGAAATTGTAATCCCCTGCCTTAGTAGCCTCCTGAGTTGCTGGGATTATGGGCATACACCACTGTGCCTGGCCCCCTGTATTGGATTTCTTTGTCTGCCAGTAGACTTCTTGGTATTCCCCTCTCTACACTTGGCTCTATGCTTCTTGGAGAAATTATATATTAAAACAGCCTTCATTTCTGAGGATCCTTGTATAATGTGATCATTTAGTAATGCTGCTGCTACTTTGGGCAGTCTGTACCATTTTGGCTTTATTCTTCCTGAGCAGTACATGCTATAGGACCACTGAGTTAATGAGTATTGTCCTGGGCAGTGAGATATTACATTTTTTGTTTTTCAATTTGATTTGATTTATATAAAGGATTGCTTTTGGCTTTAGGAAAGAGGACTATAGAAGGAGCTGTAGTCTTTTGTTGTCTATACTTTTATGAAGAAGATGAAGGGACTCAATTGAGATGTGGGGTAAAGGTACCCACCATCATCCTGACTAGCTCTAAGCCCTAATCAAGGTTTTTATAGCTGACTAGACACTAAGCTGGATGCTGGAAAGTGAGGGTGGATGTAGATGTGTAGAGAGGCCAGGTATCTTAGCCATGCCAAGTGCAATGAATCATTTATTAATGGATGGGAAATGGATTGCATGAATACTACTACTATGTATCACATATAATTTTAAGACAAATTTTAAAAAATTGTTTAAAAAACTTGACTATGTGATCATTGACATTAACTTAAAATATTTACTTCCAGAATCATTCTTACAGTCACTCTTACGGAACGAAGAAGCGATCTTCTCATTTTCATAAAGACCCCCTGGTTAGTTCTGTTGTGTCACATATCGTAATTTACTGATTACTTTAAGTAAGAATTATGACTGCTTTGGTGTTTTTGGTTTTGTTTTGGTGTGCCCTTAAGGCATAATTGGAACTTGAAAATATGCTGAAAGATGATTTATCAGAAACTTTTGAAGTGATTTTTGTTTTTACTTGTAAGATTTAATATCGGATTAGCATATGCCAACCTTTGGGGCTAGAATTAGGTTAGTAAGGTATCACAAGAAGCTAATGAATGAGGTGTTTTCATTTATGAATTATCTTTTGAAGTATACCTCAAGAATAGTGAGGTTTTTCATCCTTATTTTAGAACTTATAATTGATTTGATTATGGAATTATGGTAGGTTTCATTATGAAAATTTGTTTTGTTTTGAAACTTGGAATGCATTTTCTGGTGGAAACAATAAAGTATGTAATGACAGTTTCCCTAGTTCACAGAAAACTTCTTAACCTGTAATGTAACTAAGCTGCAAACTACCTTTTTTCCATGCTAGCCACCTTTGCTAAATATCTAGTTTAGTGGGGAATCATCTTCAGAATGCCCACCTGAGACACAAGGAATGCCTTTTTCCTGTTTTGCTGATGTAGTACTGGTAAAAGAAGCACAGTTCCCAAGCTCCCTGCTATTTTAGGGTTACCATGTAGAAGTGGGTGGCTGGCTTTATCTAGTGGGAGTGAGAATGTAATGGATGAGAGGTTTAAGAGAGGCCTTGGATGGTGGGGTATTGGGAGCTCTGGGGAGAGGTGAGCGATGGCACTTCCTTGGGGGTGTGAGTTGGGAGTGGTGCAGGAAAGCCTGGGTAGGAGGGGTAGGGTTTGGGTGAGAGTAGGGATATCCCTGATTGCAGTGTCAACAGTAGAGAGGGAAGTCGTTTAAGTCAGAGATTGCATATATTTTCTCAACCTTGAGTAAAAAAGATGACTAGAGGAAATTTTATAGATGATTTCTCTTCTCAAGTAACTGTCTTGTATAAAACTATTGGATAGTGTATTAAAAATGAATTTGCCATTGATGTTTTAGGCCAAACCATATTGCACTCTCTTTCTTGTAATTTAATTTGATCAATTTATTTTGACAAATAATGGGATGAGGAAAAGTTTGGAACCAAATAACTCTTTAATCATTTCTGTGGCTTTGCCAAATGGATTATAAAAGTGGTAATTATTCAGTTGTCCTAGGTTTTCAAGGACATTGTTAAGTATGACATGAGAATAAATCGCTTATTTTTGTTTCATTTTTTTCGGAGGTAGTTCTTGTTTTTTAAAGTAATAAAAATTAGTAATAGGGCTGGGGATGTGGCTCAAGCGGTATCACGCTCCCCTGGCCTGCGTGTGGCCCGGGTTCAATCCTCAGCACCACATACAAACAAAGATGTTATGTCTGCCGAAAACTAAAAAATAAATATTAAAAAAATTCTCTCTCTCTCTCTCTCTTTTAAAATAGTTATGTTTTAATACCAATCTCTTTTTTAATATATTTTTTTGCATGTTGTGCACCTTTATTTTATTCATTTATTTGTATGCAGTGCTGAGAATTGAACCCAATGCCTACACATGCTGGGCAAATGCTCTACCACTGAGCCACAACCCCAGCCCTAATACCAATCTCTTTTGAGAGACTTGAAATAATTATTGCTTTGACTTTTTTTTAGCATGATCCAATGCTTTAAAGACATTGTTTTGGAGAAGGAAGTTGGCAATGTCAGGTTTTGCCTTTGTGTGTTGTTTGGTCAACAGCATTTAATCTAAGAAAAATGTGTTTCATTTTGCTTTTTTCAGAGTGGCCTCTACTTTGATCAGAGAAACTATAGCAGTCTTAGATATAGCAAACCCACCTCTGCTTACTACACTCGGGTCTGTCTAAAGTTTTTTGGCTTCTTGTAAATCCACTTTTAACTTTCTAATTCCTCATTTGCATTTTGACTAGTTGTAACTAATCTGGGAATGACTGTGTTTTAATCCATTTTTGGTAACTGACTTCATGTAGTCCATGTGAGTGTGCTTTCAAACAGTGGGGATTATTGAATCACCCTGTTTATAAATCAGTTCCATCCTCCCCTCCCAAAAAAAATTTTTAAGTGAAAATTTTAAATGTACAAAAAGTTCAAAGAATTATATAGTAAACATCCCATACCTGTCGCTTAGATTATAAAATTTATTATATTTCCTTTATCACATAATTATTTCTCCATTCCTGTATCCATCCATTGATTCATCTTATTTTTTGAAGCATTTCAAAATAACTTGTAGGCATCAATGTGCTTCACAAAGGCCCTTCTAGTAAAGTTTGCATGTGAAAGAATAAATTACACGAGATGAGAAGAATGTAATTAGGTTTCCAGTGTTAGAATCTTGTTTTTTTTTCCAATGTATTTAACAGATCACACATTTGAAACACGTTAAATATGTGACACACAGTACATTGAAAATAATTCAGGGCTGAGGGTCTAGTTCAGTGGTAGAGAGCTTGCTTAGTGTGTGCAAGTCAGTACTGGAAAAAGAATAATTTATAAACCTGCACACAAAACTTCAATACTCTTGTTTTTTACGTCTCATTGGTTTTGGTGAAAAGAACTGAGAACTTGTATCCTCAGATGACATCAGAAAAGAGAGATTTAGTTCCTTTAAAAAAAATATTGTGCCCTTGTAGTGCATGGATTTATTGTTGACTGGTATAATTTATAGCTGATTAAACTAAGGCACTTTGTCCACAGCATGTTTTGAAATATAGGTTCTCTAATGTATTTGAAAAAGAATGCGTGTAGTGATAACTCAAAACTCATTTATTTGCTTCCTTGCAAAACAGCCTAAGCTCATTAGGAGTCTTTTTATGAAATCACTGAAAATATCACAGGAGCTGCTAATGACCGGATGTGGTTACCGCTTGCAGTGCTCTCTGTTTCTCAATGGTTCCTTAGATTCCTATCTCATATCCTAACAATAGTGTTTAAGACATAGACACATTTATAAAAGACTGGTCCAAGTGTTTTTCTTTCTTATCATTTACAGTGGTGTTCAAGAAGATTTCTAATGACTAAAGTTTTTTTACTTCATATGTTCCTAAACTACCCTAACCACTCAGGAATCGCTAATGAATTATGGAGTATAAAATCATAAACTGAAGTCTTTTGCTTTCATAATGGTGGGACCAGTTTGTTTTTGTTTTTGTTTATCTATTTTGTCTTTCTTTCTTAACAGTCTTCTTCCCTATGCAGTGACCCTCTGGCAACATCTAAGAGTCATAGGGTTAGTACTATTGGGGGAGTGTGTTACCTGCAAGTTATCAGTAGCTTTTCTTTGGGTTTAATAATGCACTTTTTTCATAGGCCTCCCCTACTGCAAATTCTGGTCTGCTGAGAAGTGCCAGCCTGGTTGGTATTTTCTTATTCCAGTGTGTGCAGTGCTGGTAGGGCAGCTGGCATGGGCTAACTCTGTGGCTTGATAGCCTTCCTCCAAAATAATCAAGAACACATGGCTTTAATGACATGTGTACTGCATAATGTGCTGCCCGTGTTTAAAGTACAAAACTGTAGGGCATTAAAAATAAGCATATTCCCTTCACAGAAGTAGGTACTGCTGATAGTTGGTAGTCTTTTTTGGAATCCATTTCCTACTGAGAAGATAGATTTGCATGGGTTCCATGTACTCACAGTGTGAGATGGCTGCCTATGCAAGGGATGCCATATTTTAGTTTGAACAGCTACAACCTTTGCCGTATTAATCTAGGATCTGATAAAGCAAGCTGGCTATAAAAACAAAAGCAGTAGCTCTCTGTAATATGTGAATTGTTGGTTGGTGGCTTTTAAGCTGTGGTTTGTTGTGTCATGGCCTATGCTAGTGGACTGGGAAAACTTAATTTTATTGTGATAGTGGGCAAAATGTTCTCTGTACTTCATTTCCCTTTTCTGCTCTATTTCCTCTTTAGAGAGAATAAATAACTAAATATTGGTTCTTCTAGTTTTATTACATGATGATGAAAGAAAATGCTAAAGTCGGTGGTTTTTTTTTTAATGAAGTACAAATTTAAAGTTATGATGAGATTGTTGTGTGTATATCAATGAATGTTTTGGTAGCCTTTAGAGTCTTTACTTGGGAAAGTTATACCCTTATGTCATTTTTTAAAACTTTTTTGGGAACTGAGTACTCAAAAATAAGTTAAGACATTTTCAAAATAACTTTGATGTACAATAGATAAATGGTATTTCTTTTGTTCTTTAGGCATCATTCTACGATGGTGGATTATATAACCCTTATAGTTCTCGAACTGTAAGTCTAAATGGGGAAGTCGTGAAGAGCAGGGAGATGTAGGAGGGTACTATTGACTTAAAAAGAAAAAGTCACTCAATCTGACCTGTAATTACTTAACAAGCTGTGATCACTCAGTTAGCCAGTCGTGACTCTCACCCACGCTGTGAGAAGGTGCCTGCTAGCAGTCATGACTTGAAATATGAGGGAAATAAGTAGGGAAACCTCTTTTCTTGCTCATTAATTCTTCCTGAAGTTCTGAGCAGCACTTCTCAGGGCATCCCCTTTCTCTCTCTTTCTATGGGCTGTTTGTTTCAGACCAGAGAGTAATAGTTACCTTTTGCCTTGGGGATCATGGTCAAGTTAGGTCTAGGGCCATTAATGTATTCTCAGCAGAAATAGGACCTGATCATTATTATAAAACCTTTCTTCTTGGAAACTTTATAGCCATCTGAATACAGTTCTTACTCATCAAGAGCAAGTTCAGCCCGAAGCAGTCCTGTGGTGAGCTGTCTAGTTTCTTTGCATGTTTTATAGAAACTTTTGGTTGTTTCGTTAACCTGCATTCACAGTTTAGAATATTAAGAATGTGGTGTGTTTCACTGCTTTGAGCATGGATTATGATGCTCCCTCACTGCACAAAATGAAGCACTAATTTCTCTTTAGCACATAATTTCTCAAGTGAGTCTTGAATCATGGTCATTAAGAAAATTTTAAGATTGTGTATTTCTCATTTCTGTGAAACTTCTTATCTTCTAAGTGGGAATAATTCAGTGTTTGGTTGGCTACCTTTTGTTTTTCATTTCTATCTGAACTTCTGTCTTGTGCCATTTCACTTGCTCACCAGCACTTTTGTAAGTAGAGGGGAAGGAAAAGAAATAAAACAGGCCAATATATATATATATAATTTTTCATATATTTATGGAAAATAAAACTGGAATAAATCTAGTTACCTAGTCTTTGTGGAATATCAAACTTTACAAAGATAATATCAGTTAAGGAAAGTCTGAAGTAAAATTCCCCAGGTCCTTTCCTCCCCATTTCCAATACCCAAAAGGAGCCTCTGTTTTTATAATACCTTTCAGGGTATTTTCTGCACATATGAGTGCTTTTTATTTTGAACACAAATAAATTCCTATATACCACATACTGCTCCTTGACATTTTCTCTAAAGTATCTTTCTATATCAGAACATAGAGATTTATTTCACTCTTGTTTTGACATTAAATTTTTTTAACAAGTAAGCCATGTCCCTTACTTGTTTCACTTAATGCCTCTTAGAGATAGTTTCATATTAGCATATTATTTTTAATGGCAGTTTTATTCCATTAATGCATAGGTATACATTTTAAAAAGTATTCCCTATTCATAGGCAATTAAGTTTGTCAGATTTTTGCTCCTATAACACTTTTATAATGAACTATATATATACTTATCTATGTGTATTATTGTGGACTTCTGTGTACACTATATATAGTACATGTAAATAAATGTGCTATGTACACTTTATATAATACATGTAAATAAATGTGCTATCTATAAATATACATTTATCCACTTATATTATTAAGTACTTCTATGAATGGATCTTCAAGGTAATCTGCACATCATGAAATAATAGGATTAAGGAGTATATGCTTTTAATTATGATGCATATTACCATATTGTCAATAAAAGGCTATATTCATTCACATTCCCAAAGGTAAATGATGACTTTAGAATCTACCTTATTATTCTCAATAATGTTAAATAATGGGGAAATTATTTAATCAGTTTATTATCATCAAAGATTTACTTTGTGGAATGGAATAGATGAGCTCTGTGGACTTTCTTTTAAAATTATCTTTGGTTCATTTCTGCCATGTCCAAGTGGCAGTTCTCAAAAATGCCATTCCTATATTTATAAAAAATTATACTCAAATGTTTAAGGATATAAAGACTTTTCACATAAGGAGGAAGTTTATTTTTAACCTATTTAGTAATAAAATTCTGCTTGTCAATATTTGGGCCTGGTAACATTTTTTTTTTTTTTTAAAGAGAGAGTGAGAGAGGAGAGAGAGAATTTTTAATATTTATTTTTTAGTTCTCGGCGGACACAACATCTTTGTTGGTATGTGGTGCTGAGGATCGAACCCGGGCCGCACGCATGCCAGGCGAGCGCGCTACTGCTTGAGCCACATCCCCAGGCCCTTGCAAATAGAATTTGATAATGTAGTTTCAGTCAAGTGTAGGACCTTGCCCTTGTGAGCTGGCTATATCCTGTTTCAGAGTTACTTTGTGATGCCAGAAAGGTTTCTTAGTGATGTCAGAATGGGAAAGCAGGAAGAAGATTGCCCCATCCATGTAGGGTAATATTAGATATATCTCTACAAATTACATAGGGATGAATAAAAGGAAAAAGGATTCATCACTTCAGTGTCCTTGCTGGTAGGAAATTCTGTCTTTGATACATATTATTGAATGTTGAAATTTTTTTTTTCCCCTTTCTCAAACTAAAACATTGAATATATTTATTGGTTTCATGATAGAATCCCAAAGGATCTGGAGGTTTAAAAAGCATGAAATCCCTAGCTAGTTTTGGCTTTTACTCATGTCTTCCACTTTGTTTAATTTCAGTATAAAATTCTGCTTTATTTTTTATGCTTTTTGGAAATAGCTTTTAATTTTTAATGATAGTTCATTACGCTTTCCAATAGCTTTTCTATTTAATGACACACAACAGATTGTGCCAATTATATGGAGTGTTTGTATGCTTCTCAAACCTTCCCTATCATGCTTACAATCAGGTAAGACTTGTAGTGAAACTCAATCTTTTTAATTATCTGCATTTAATATCTATAGTTGGTCAACGATGACACTGCGAGCATTGTATCTTCTCTATCTTCTGATCGTGCCAGTCATGGGCGAAGCGAGAGTGTGGTGAGCATGGTTTGCATGCAAACAAATATGATGAATTTTAAAATGACAGTGTGTGATCACATGAAATCTACTGGTAAAATTACATTTGACAGAAAGAATATTTTCCTTAAATTTAGTTTGTATGAATAATTTGCCAAATAATGTGTGCTCTTGAGACTATGAATAGACTTTTTTAAAGTTACCAATACTACAAATTTTAAAAATTCTTGTCTGACACATTCAACTAATTATTAATTGTAGAGGCAACAGATATCTGTTTTAGAATACAAATGAAGGTTATTTTATGAAGCAGGAAAATTTATAGAATTAATGACATTTTTGTGATATTTAAGGAACTGATTTGGAAATTACATTGTTGAGGATGTGTGTTAGCTTGGAGCTAGAATAAAGAGCCCTAGGGAAGCTGTGATTTCTTTAGAAAAAAACTAAGGGCATTTAATGCAAGTACGTTATGTGAAAGATTATAAATCCAAAGTTTTCCTAAAGAAAGGGAACACCAAATGTTTTTGAGACTTGTTGCCAAAATTTGATTTACCTAATTAAAGTAGTTGTGATACCTTAGCCAATTAATTAATGCTCATGTATACAGCTAAAGGAGAAAGAAGAAACTGAAACATCTGAAAGCACCTCAGAAGGCAATGGAGTGGAAAGGGCAGGGGCTTTGATGTAATGATGCTTGGTCTCATATGCACTTCCGCTACTTAATAGTTGTGCCGATAGCAGTTTTTTAATATTTACAATGGAGATGTTAATGGCTATCTTTGTAGTCAGGCTTAATATGGATTAAATGTATGACAAGGTGGAAGATACCTAGTAAGATTCTGAAATAGTAGGTGCCGATAATTACTACATGTAAGTCCAAGTATGCTATTGTTTTGAATAAAAATAGCATTGCTTAATTGTATTAATCCTTAGAAAAACTTTATACCGTTAAGCCTGTTTTGACTCTGTGATTGGGCTTCTGAATTCCTTTAAGGAGAATAGTTTTAAAGCAAGGTAAATGGTCAGCTGAGGTAAGAAATAGCTGATCAAGGTTAAAAATTATTAATTCAGTGTTAATGGAGTATCTTTTGAATTTGAGGCAGTGTGTTAAGTGCTACAAATAATGTTGTCAGCCTCTGACATGATTGGAGTTTATGTGCTAGTGAAAAAAAATAGGAAATAAGCTGTTAAGAAAGGAACAAAAAGAAAAGAAATTATAGTGACTATAAAGAGAAAAAGCAGGCAATATGATAGGGAACATACAAGTGTGCGTTTGTATGTGAGTAGTCCTTTGAATGGAGTGGTAAGAGAAAGCTCTCGAGGAAGTGACTTCTGAGCTGACACCTGAAATTGGACAAGTCAGCTGCTCAGTGGGCTGGGAGAAGAACTTTCTAGGCCAGTGCTGAGGATTTATATGGGAAAGAACTTGGTGAATTTGAGGAACCCAAAAAAGACCAGTGTGATTCCCTTCCTTCATTATTTTGTCCTATAATCCCTGGCATGGGGAATACGAGAAAGAGTATTGTGGAAATTGAGTCAAATTTTTGGCAAGCACCTTGAAAATACTTTAGTATTCAACATATATGTACTCAACAGAGTGAGTATTATAATGAATTATAAATTTTGTGAAATACAGTAAAGGCTTTCAATAGTGTTCTAGAGACCCCGTTGATGGTAACAGATGTCTTAAGCATACATTTTCTTGCCCTCAGGCAGTAAACAATATAGTATAGAATTCAAGTTAAAATGAATAAAATAGTTTATTTTAGGGAACTGTGATTCCACTTAGAAACCCCTTCTCTTTTTACTTTTTTGAGTATTAATTGTGAAATTTTCTTATTTCAATTCATAGTATTTTATCACACACCAAAATTTAAACAAACTTTCTCCTTATTGGCTAATGTTTTTATCTTTTTCTTCTCTCTTAACTTTTAAAGCATCTCCTTTTTTTTCTGACTGAAAGGTTTCTGCTGCTGATTATTTTAGTCGCTCCAATCGTAGGGGAAGTGTTGTCTCTGAGGTTGATAACATCAGTATTCCAGATACGACCAGTGTGAGTGTATTGCATGTCACAATGATTCTTTCTTACACTTGTGACTAACAGTTAATATGGTAACTTTTTAAAAATTAGGAACTTTAATTTACTGCCTAGGAAATACTTATTTGAATCTACTAACATAAACTATAGCTATTTGTTTTGGACTGTATTTATTATTATGTCCTTTTGAAAAAATTATTTTTCCTGTGATTATTTTTGCTCATAGAACTCATCAGGAGCTTCAGGCAATTATCACTATTTTGCCAATTTGTCTCATCTGTTTTTTACTCTTTTTACTTTTTTTTCTGAATTATTTTAGAGCAAATTCTACACATTTTGTCATTTTCCATTAATTCAAAATCTTTTCAGATCTGCTATACCATTATCATACCTAATGAAATAAAAAAGCAATTCCTTAATGCCATCAAATTCTTATCCTATATACAGATATTCCTGATTGATCTTACAAATTCCCCCCCCCTTTTGAAGTATTGGCGCGTGCCTGTAATCCTAGAGACTTGGGAGGCTAAGGCAGAACGATTGAAAATTCAGTGCCAGCCTGGGCAACTTTGTGACTATCTCAATGTAAAAAATTTTTTTAAAAAATTTCCCCTTTTGGCTTTGCTGAATCTATAAAGTGATAAGTAGACTTAAAAGTTGAATAAGAAAGTATACTACTTAGTAAAATGTCATTAGTTGATAACAACTGGGAAGAATCTGAATAGATTTTTTTTCCCCCCATGGTGCTAGGGTTGAATTTAGGGCCTTGTGCATTTGAGGCAAGCACTTTACCGATTAAACTATATCCCCAGCCCCATGAATCTGAATAGATTTTAAACATGTAGATTATAGTGTTGTTTTGAAGAAATGTGTCTATCCATTGTTTTCACATTCAGTAGGAACTGAATTAAGGAAAGACTGTCCAGCAGAGATAACTTGGGTCATTTGTCTTATTAAAGGAGCTCTAACCATCAGATTAGGATCTACCTGCTGATCTCATCTTTGTGACATTTGCCCGTTGTTGCTGGTATTAGTGTTGTTTTGCCCACTGACCAGTGCTGTCCTGATTGTCAAGCACTTTGGAGGGGATAAATGGCAGCATTTTCTTCTAGAAAAGTTAGACATTAGTTTTCTAATGTCTAATTATAATTAGCAATTCAGGGATTATTTCAAATAGCTATTTCTGAACTATTTTTTTTTTAATTTAATTAATTTATTTATTTTATTGGCGGACACAACATCTTTGTTTGTATGTGGTGCTGAGGATCGAACCTGGGCCGCACGCATGCCAGGCAAGCGCGCTACCGCTTGAGCCACATCCCCAGCCCCATTTCTGAACTATTTTAATCCTAGAAAATAATTTCAAGTGTGGCCTTTTAAATATTCCTGATTGTTGACTTTCAGACCTGCCTATGCAATAGTATCAGCTTGCTGTGGGTTGAATCAAGGACTCTCTCTACATATAAAATTAGACGATTACCTCCCAAGTCATTCTGAAATATTAATTTGCTTAGTAGCCTCTTCCCCCCCACCCCCAGATATGGACAGTTACATTTATTTTGTATACTTGTTCTCATACAGATTTTGTTTCTGTCATTCTTCAATTTAGGGTGTCTGAGTTAATGGTTATGTCCTTCTTACATTTATTTCTTGGAAATTTACTTAGTAATTACATAGAAATGAAAAAGTTGACAGTTATTTAAATCTCTCCCTATCTCTACCAATTACATGTAGCTCTTTAATGAAAGGAAAAAAAAATGTCTTAGAGTAGAGCTTGCAAATCTTGTTATTTTATAGCCTTCAATTCACTGGCTTTTATTAATGACTATATAAGGACTTATGTGATATTTTTAATTTTGTCTCTTGGAAAAGCCTAAAACATTTGCTGTTTTTCCATCTAGAGCAAGTAATTTTTCCTAATAGTATTTATTTCACAGAACATGCTATGATTCACTTCATTGTAGACAAATAAAAGGCTGACTTGATATTGGTAGGCCCCTCACCCATTTTTAAAGATAAGTTGGAAATCTGCAATTTCACTGTGAAATATTCTGATTTTAAAATGCTGACAATAAATTCAAATTTTTAGAAGATACTTTAAAAAATATTTATTTCTCTCTTTTTTTAGTTATAGATGGACACGATACCTTTACTTTATTTATTTTTATGTGGTGCTGAAGATCGAACCTAGGGCCTCGCACATGCTAGGGGAGCGCTCTACCGCTGAGCCATGGCCCCAGCCCCTAGAAGATACTTTCTGACTGCTCCATTGTGTGTACCAAATATGTTTTTATAGCTAATAGTTTTATAACTTCTGAGCTAAGAGGTGTTGAAAGTCAGGTCCTAATTCTGCAAGTCTGTGTACTATTTATGGTCACCTTAGCTCTATGTCATTTTTTTTTTCTTTATTGGCTTCATTTTTGTTCTAAAGGTTTAACTGGAATAAAGGAAAATAATGTAAGTGTGCTAACTAAAATTTTGATGATTGCTAATAATTAAATCCACTTCTGATTGGAATTGTCAGCCAGTTTTGCTTTAGGAACTTATTAAAAATGATTGTTTTCTTCCCTTCTTTGGCTGGGGAATCGGATCTTCCATTTTGTTTTTTCTTTTTTCAAACTATATTTGAATAGCAATAACAAGCCAGTACAGGTTGAGCATCTCTAATCCAAAAAATCAGAAATCAGAAATTCTCCAAAAACTGACATTTTTTGAGAACCAAAATAGTGTCACAAATGAAGAATCCCACTCTTGACTTTGTGAGAGGTCACAGTCAGTACTCTGGCACACTAAAAATAAAGTGTAGAATCATCTTCAGTCTCTATATATAAGGTGTACATGAACAATAAATGAATTTCATATTCAGACTGGATCCCGTGCCCAACATATCTCATTATGTATATACCAATATTCTAAAATCTGAAAAAATCCAAAATCTTAACACTTAAACATTTCAAAGAAGGGATACTTAATCTGTATATGTAAATATACATATTTAAATATATATATAAACAGGTTTTATACACACACACACACACACACACACACACACACACACACACTAAACAGAGGATTCTGATCTACTGACTACATTTAACAAATTACACTATGAATACCTTTGTAGATTATAGTTTTATACCTTAAATATGATTACATTTTATTAAACTTGAAAAGCTTTTTCAGGATCTTGGCAGACTCTTTGGGTCTCATTATAAATATTAACTTGTCATTGCACTGCTGCTAGTTAGACATCCTGGCTATTGAATCCCCTGGGGCTTTAGAATACCAGATTTCACCTAGCTTTACAGTAAAAGTCTCAGAAGTGAGAGCCAAAGCATCTCTGGCCAAGTCACTGCAGCCACAATAACTGGACTGCAGCATGACTGCTCTGGGCACTTTTTGCTGGCTTAACAATCCCTGAGGTTTGGCGCATGATCTCTTTTGAGTTGCGACAGTTGGGATCTATCAGAAGATAGAGAAAGTGGTAAGATTCAATTTTGTGATGGCCCAGTTTGGTGATGCCAACTTCTGAAATCTAAGATTATTCCAGGGTGATGTTCTGCTACAAAATGGGTGAGTTTGTGGGTAATTTTTGTAAACAGCACATAGGAAGAAGGATTTAAATAGACTTAGAAGAATATTTTTATTTTGAATATTTCTTGCTTTTCTCCTTAGCTTGTTAGCAGAAATGAGTTCGAAAACACTCTGAGAAAAATAAGGCAGTTTATTCAGATATAATAATTCTTTTCCTTGAAGAATAACTTGTTAAATATCAGGCAGTGCATTTTACTAGTACAGATTTGAGGAAGGACTATTACCTTTTAAGGCAATAATTGACAATATTAAAAAACAACTTTTGCTTACTGTTATTACTTGTTTATTGCAAAACATTTTTATATTGTTTTTTTAAAAAAATCCATATAAAACTTTTTTGAGAGTAATCAAGCAAGAAGTAACATTTAGAGTTAAATGTCTAATATTTTAGTTACTGTTATAATAAAAGGTGTTTATAAACATGATGAATTTGAGTAATAAAAAGAACACTAAAAACTTTTTTAAAAAATATGAGGAAGTTAAAGTGTTCTGAGTAGAACCAGTAATAATAATGTTTTGTATTTTAATAATTAACTGATGAAGGTTTTCAGATTTCTTCTCTAGTTTGGACTCGGAAGGCTGATGTGGGGTTTGGAGTCTGGGTATATTTTATGTTTCTTTAGTTAAACCCTTATGTGCCTTTTACCCCTAGTGGTAATTGGGATAGTATATGCAAGTAAATAACATGAACACTGGATTTCATAAAACTGAGGTTTGGAACCAACTCTGACATTTAGTAATTGTTCAACCTTTAGCAAAATCTTTCACCTCTGAATTTTCTCCCTTAGCTCTAAAATCACAAATTTAGACTGGAACTTTGAGGTTCTTCCCTTCTTGAAACATTGTCCAAAACAGCCCCAAAGCCTTTCAGCAGAGATGGGTTGATTCACTTATGATATATCACGATAACAGACTACTATAGAGCTGTTCAAACAAATGAGGTAAATAAATATATAAGTACAGATGGAGTATAGGATGTACTTATTCATATATCCAACAAATTTTATACTAAATACTATATATTAGATGTTATTATTGGTACTAGGTATACAGAGAAAAACAGGACTTCTGTAGAGAGATCAGACCCTAAGTAAGTGAATAAATATAGTATCAGAGTGATAAATGTTATGAAGAAAAATTAAATACTTTCTCAAAACATTGAGAATTTGGTAAGGGAATAGAGAAACAGAATATATATGGAACACTAGTAGCAGAATTTTTAATGATTTACGGATTGGTTGCCGTTGGTGATTGGAGGTCAGAATATGGTATGTTAAGGAGAAAGACCTATTTCTGATATCACCATCCCCATTTTCTTTGGCCATGTATGCAAATATTACTCAAAACAGAACAAAAACATTCTTAATGATGTGAGGAAAAAATATTTGATGATTATATTTAATATGCTTTAGTTCAATCTGAATTTCTTTGGCTAAGTATACTAGTCTTATCTATTTGTGTCTTAATAATGTTTAGAAATACTTTTTTTGGCTTTTGGTTTATGAGGACTTTTCTTTTGATATGTATACAATTTTTGTATTAACATCTGCAGTACTAAAAACCTAATTTTATATATAGTTTTCTTTAATGCATTTTAAATACCATGAAAAGAAAATCTATCCAAAATCTATCCTTTTAATGAATATTGCTTGCTTAATGCATGTCTTTCTTAGGATAAGAAATAAAGTTCTTGACATTTTGTCTTATATGTCTTAACTTTTATATTGGTTTTAGTATATTTACTTTTAGGTTTTAAACATCACTGAACTTGGGAAACTCAAATGAGATCACTTCTTTTTGGCTCCTAAAAGAAAAATCAACATACTAAGCATCTTTTCTGATTTTTATCTCTGTTCTTTTATAGTTGGATGAAAAATCTGACAAACAGTATGCTGAAAATTATACAAGGGTGAGTATATAAATTCCTAAGGGAATTATGTTCTCAAGGTCAATTAAACTTTTCTATGACTTGTTCATTATTTTACTACAATTGGCCTGATGGAGCTACTCTTGCTCCCTTCATCTATTTCCTGTTCTTGACCCCTCAGAATTCCTCTTTAGTTAAATCATGTGAAACCCTGGGAAGAGAAAAGACTGCATTTTATTTCATTGAATGTCACCTCTTTAGCTTTTGGTTGTTCTTTTGGTTTTCATTCCTCTAGAAATTTATCCTGAGAAGCCATTAAACACTGGAATTGAAATGTGCTTAGGAGTGGTGGTGACAAACTGAGGATTTGATTTCTTTATACATAAGTTATTTCTTTAAATAAAGTAACTTTTTTGTGTTAGTTTCTAACTTTAACTTTTCTTCTAAAAGTAGCTTTAGAAAGTTGGTTAAGGAAATCACTTTTTAGGAATAATTTTATATTATATCCAAGAAAGTTATATCAGCTTTGTCCAGTAGACATACAATGTAAGCCACTGTTTTAAGTATATACATTAGTCTAAATTTTCTTGAAGTCACATTAAAAAATTAAAAGAGGCAAAGTTATGTTATATTTAATACAAATATCCAAAATATTTCAACATAGAGTCAATGTGAAAAATTAATGATACATATACTTCTTCCTTTTTTCCACACTAAGCTTTTGAAATCTGGTATATATTTTATATTTAATCTCAGTTTGGTCTAGTCACATTTCAAATGCTCAAAAGCCACATGTGGCTAGTAGCTAGCATATTGGACAACACAGATCTATATAGTTTATTAATAAGTAGCATACTCACATGAAATTAATTTTGGAAAGAGCAATCTGAATTCCTATTGATAGGCAGTGTTGCTGCTTTCAGCTGCAAATAGAATCTCTGTCTTTATCAGCAAAGTATTAGAAAAAGAAGAGATTCTTAAAGCAGTTTTAGGAACTAAATAGGGGAAGTGCCAATTAGCATATCAGTTATAAAGGTTTAAAACTGCCTTAAATTAGTATATTGTGGTCACCTGAGTGCTATTTGAATATAGCAATGATTAACTTAGAGAATAAACAAACTAGGTTGAGGGTGGATGTAGCTTGGTGGTAGAGGCACAAAAAAGATTGTGAGAGGAAGGAAGGAGGAAAGAAAAGAAAAGAACAACCTCCCATTAAAAACAATTTCCTTCTTGGTTATTTAATTCTAGATTCTAATAAGGTGTTTGAGTTAAGAAAATTATGCTTAGTAGGCCTGTACCCTTCTCTGATGGCTCTCTCCCAGAACAACTTAAATTGCCCATTGTGATGGTACTTGGTAACTTCCTGACTACACTGTTTTAGTATATCCATCTGAAGTGCACATCTGCTTCTACCACCCTCTACCACCCCATTTTTAGTTTTCATAGCAAATATATTTTTAAAGAAATAAGATTCAAGTATCATATTTCTCTCTTTCTAGCCTTCATCTCGAAATTCTGCCTCAGCAACAACTCCTCTAAGTGGAAACTCATCCAGACGAGGAAGTGGGGACACCAGCAGTTTAATAGATCCAGACACCTCATTAAGTGAATTGCGGGTAAACCACAACTTTTGGTTTGCTTTTTAAAAAGTCTTCTGGTTTCTTTGTAGTGTACTGGAACTTTTAATATTTAACGTGACTTATTAGAAAGAAGTGACTATAAATTCCTTAAAAATAATTAATAATACAGTTTAAAAATTTGACTTGGATATTTCAGAGCCTGTAGGGAAAGAGATTAGATTATTCCTTTTTTTGTTCTCTTTCCTGAAATTTTGATGGTATTAGAATAAGTTCTACAAATGCAAAAAACAAACAAAAAAACCAACTTTGTTACCTGTATAAAAGCAATTCTATCAGAATTAACTGGCCATATTTTAAATGGAAAATATGTGGGTTTACAAAGAAACAGACTGGGAAATATTAGTCTTTTGAGCCATTGTAGTAGTATTTGGCTACTTGAATATAGTTATCTTTTTTTTCATAATAATATTTGAAGTAATAATAATATTTTGACAACCAAAATACATGAGATAATGAAACACTTATTTGACTCATTAGTTGTGTCTCTTGTCTTTTTAAACTTTTAATTTATAAAATGAAAACTTAAAAAAATACAATTGAAAGTCTACTTGCTCAATCTGAAATTTGTGAGGAACAGAGAAAGGTACTGAAAGAAATTGCCTTCCTCTCTTCCTTTCTTCATTCAAAATTTATTGAACACTTGGTCCTGGAGAAAGGAAACAGATTCTGGCCTTTAAGAGGCCACACTGTTTCATAGAGAAGACAAACTGATTCAAAGCAATAAATCCAGATTGTATGATACTATAGTAGTACCAAGAATAGGCTAAGTTAATTCAGAAAGGCATCATCTAAATTAGACTAGGAGAAGAGATAACAAAAGTCTTTTCAGAGAAGACAAATTTGAGCCAGAGTTTGAAGGGAGAATAAATATTAATTAAGCAAAGAAGTTGAAGAGGGAGGGTTTTCTTAGATGCATGCAGAGGACCAGAATGTTATGGCGAAGTTGCCACAGGATAGACTGAGAAGTAAGAAGCAGTGGTGGGTGAGAGGGAAGTCTGGGAAGAAATGAGGGCCCAATCACAAAGCATCTTCTATGCCAGCCTGAAAAGAATTCATTTTTTTTTTTTTTGTAATCCTGGATAGATAGCATGCCTTTATTTTATTTGTTTATTTTTATGTGGTGCTGAGGATTGAACCAGTGCTTCACATATGCAAGGCAAACGTTCTGCCACTGAGCTACAGCCCCAGCCCAGGAATTCAGTTTTCCCCTGACAATTCTGTTATATTAAGTAGGGGACCAATATTCTCTGATTTGAATTATTAAAAATAACTTTGGCTATAGTTCAAAGGAAGCATCACAATAGAGAAAAATAATAACCCTGTGGTTGAACAATAAAGATCAGATGGGCAAGTCAAAATGGAAGGAAGAAAATATAAGAAACATAATCTGAAGTGAATATGTGAGGCTGGAAATTTGTTGGGCAGTAAGTGGAGGTGGGTGAGAAGAGATTAAGAGAAGGTTTTAACCTTCTTTTAAAAGTGGGAGTGTTGGGCTAGGGATATAGCTAAGTTGGTAGAGTGCTTGTCTTGCATGCATAAGGCCTTGGGTTCATCCCCAGTACCAAAAAAAAAACACACACACACACACACACACACACACACACACACACACACACAAAAAAAAAAAAAAAAAAAAGTGTGAGTGTTTACTGTTTTCATGGATTGGATTGAGCCAGTAAAGAGTAAGGCTGAAGATTGTGGAAGAGAAGAGGATGACAGAGCAAAATGCTGAGCAAAGTCCAGGGTTCAGATGGTCTTGCCTAGTCTGAAAGTCCCTTCCACTGACACAGCAGTGGAGGAGGTAGAACAGGTGGTAACCAAGTAAGATTGTAGTTAAGGTTGGAACAGGAGTCTGGTTTGTGAAATGGGCTGGACACAGGAGAAGAGTTGATCAGTCCAGCATAGCTGTGGCATTGAAAATGTCAGTATTTATTGAGCTTTTACCATTTATAAGATGTTGAGTGCTGATGGTGCATTGTTGAATAAGACAATTTCCTGCCTTTGGATGCTACATTCTAGTGGGACAAAAGGACATGAGAATAAGGTCTTCCATTCTCAGACTGAACTCTCTCTTTAAATGACCACCTTGAAGGAATGAGATTTTGTGTCCTAGCACCTGGTTTCTGATAGATCCTTAGTAAATGTTTGTTGAATGAATCAATGAGTAAAACACAAATCTCCCAGGGAGGGAATGAAGTGGGCAGGGGAAGCATAATACCCAAAATATGTATAATTGGCCTTTAGCAGTTGATCCTGCCTATAATAGCAGAGTTGCATTTGGGGCCCTCTGGCAGTTATGTCCCACCTGAATTGAGTATCCAAAATAGACCTTATATAACAGGGTCAGGCACAAGGGAAATAATATTTTCCATTTAAAATTTGGCCTATTTTAGTTTTTTTAATAATACAGTGGTAATATTCAGAGCAAATGCTTTTCTTATCATTTATGTGATATCATCAGGTTAAAATGTCTCATTTAACATTGTATTCAAAATATGTTTAACTTCCCTCTCTTACTCCCAAATTAATTGTGGTCAGCAACCAAGTCATTGAAAGATAACTTTGTTCATAATATTTTTGAAGCTTACACTTGAATCAAAGTTGCTAATAATTGATTTTACTCTATATTTTACTAGTTATTATTTAAGTGATTTATTAAATTAAAAATTTTATAATTTATATACCTTTTTTTCTGTATACAGCCCTACCCCCATTTACTGATGTTGTTTTCAGTAGAATTAGTGCCAAGAAAATATTTAACATTAGCTTGATTTCTCCAGACCTTACACCAGCCCCACTATCAATTTAACCTATTTGCCCCTTTAGTGGTTTGGGGTAATAGCTTTGGTTTCTTTTAGTTTGGAATGTACAAAAATAAGTCGTATTTTCATCTGACTCTCTTAAGACTTAAGATATGTTTGTGCCTGGTTTTATGCAATGGTTCATTCCTATGTCCTGCAGGATATCTATGAACTTAAGGACCAGATACAGGATGTAGAAGGGAGATACATGCAGGGGCTTAAAGAACTAAAGGTATCAGGGTCCATTTTGCAGCCCAAGCATGCTCTGTATGCAGAAGTATTGGTTATGGTGACTTCACAAGTTCTGTTAACCCACTGCACATAGCTTTACTAACAGTGTTTGTCTTTCAAGCATGTGCTTAACCTGCAAAGCATAGGAAAGTCAAACTTTCAATCTCTGCTTGTTTAGATGTTGAGTATAATTTTTGGAATATTCAGCAAATAATTATACCTTACAGTTCTGAAGACTTGTAAAATAGTTGCACATCTCTTGTGTTTTAGCCATAAAAATTTTAATTGGGCAAACACCTAAAAATATTTCAAGAATTTTTTTTTTTTAAAAAAATTGAGAATTGAACCTTAAAATTCTTCCAAGCTAAATGAAAGGATTTTACTTATTTTTATCATCAAATTCAGTCAGTATTAAAAGCAGGCATAAGAAGCAAATGAGAAAGTATTATTATAAATATCCCCTTTGGAGGAAGGAATCAGAAGATATGAGGCCTATATTTTCTTTTTGTTTTTACTTAGGCCAAAAAGATCTCTAGTGCCTTAAAGAATTTGGAAGTAAATTTAAGTGGGCTTTATCTTTTCTCAACAAGGATGACTAGTAGCTTTCAATATAAATGTATGAGATAAGGGGTTATGGAGTATAGCTCAGTGATAGTGTGCTTGCTTAGCATGTGGGTTGTAAATGGCATTTGTTACCATGTTCTTTCCCTATCCATGTTTCATTATGAAGGATCAAGCCTAGTTTTATGAAGAAACCCAAAGTTTAGGTCTGCATATAGCATCCTGATTTGCAATAAAAATATGCACCAAGTCTCTAAAAAAGCAAAAGCAAGACATTCAGAAAGGTGACTTAGGATATGCTCAAAGGATAAAGCATGAACCTCATGAGCAGGACATTATTTGAAGTAGCTGGGCTCCCAGCCACCACCTTCATGCCGGTGCTTTGGTCCATAAGTTCAGATTCAGGACCACAAAGGGTGGGAAGTCCTATAGGGAGTATCCATGAGGGAGGCCTGAAAGCTGCTAATAAGACCATGTATGCCTGTAATCCCAGTGGCTAGGGAGGCTGAGATAGGAGGATCAAAAGTTAAAAGCCAGCTTCAGCAATCTCGAGGCACTAAGCAACTCAGTGAGACCCTGTTTCTAAATAAAAAATATAAAATAGAACTGGGGTTGTGGCTCAGTGGTAGAGTGCTTCTGAGTTCAATTTCTGCCACCCCCCACACACACACCAAAAAAAAAGACCATGTGAGGTTGAGTAAACATCAGGAAAATTTAGTTACTCTTCTCATATAATCTTATTGGTCTAGTCTTCAGGATTTTATCCTGATTTAAACTTTTAAAAACATAATTTGTAGAAAAATCTTGGGTTCAAGAAGCAAATTCAGTACATTAAATAAATATGTGCATATTAAAGTCTCATACCTAACAGTGTATCATCAGGAAAGCAACAAGTGATTCAGAGGCAGTCTTGTTTTAATTTTTTAAAGATGTTTTCTCTTGTATTTATTGCATTTATTGCATTCTTTGAAGTATACAAAAGAACAGTTTAGATTTGAGACATGAACAGTTAAGATCCCTCCCCCCTTTTTTTTAGTTCATGCTAGTATATAACTGAACTTGACTTCAGATTATGTTTATCCTTGGGAGGAAAGTCTATCGTGTGATGAAGCATTGTGTTGTGATATATTCTATTTTAAAAAGTATTGTTGGTTCACTGCAAATGCCATTATTCTTTTTTTAGTGGGGAGGGTGGGTGCCAGGATTGGGGCACTCGACCGCTAACCCACATCCCTATTTTATTTAGTCATGGTCTCAACTGAGATGCTTAGCAACTCGGTTTTTGCTGAGGCTGGCTTTGAATTTGTGATCCTCCTGCCTCAATCTCCCGAGCTGCTGGGATTACAGACATGTGCCACAAAGTCCAGCGACATTATTCTTGATTATTATGCTTGCCTTTGGACTGTTTTCCTCAAGTCTTCCCTTTATCCTTTCTTTAATCAGGAAAGTTGAGCCTTCAGCAATACAGTGTTTATCACATTCCATAGTACTGTTTAGTGTGCACTTACCCATAAAATACAGTAAAATATTTTTGAAAACCAAGTGAACTAAAAGATTTTTAATGATTTTTATAAATTAAAGAACTAAGTTCATTTTAAAAACTATTAAAATCGATACTTAACTAAATTTTAATGTGGAATGACAGCAGTAAATAAAAGAATGTAGTAAATCTTGTTTCTAGCAACCGAAAACTTTCCAAGGCATTCAAAAAAGGCAACCTGTAGTATACAATGTATAGTATATAATTTATGTTTAAAAACATAAACAGAGGCAAGCAGTAACTGCATATGAATGAATAAGAAATGCCTGATAGGTTCTCCACCAAACACTGATGTCTCTGGAAGGCACATGGTCAAGGAAGAAATTTGCTTTATCTTTATTGTTTTTCTTGCAGTGAAAATCTTATCATGTTTTGCTTAGGTACTTTTAGGAGCAGTTGGTTTTTTAACTGGTAGTTAATATTTCAGAATTACTGAAAATATTCTTAAAATCTTGGCTTACCATTACTATCTGACCAAACTTAAATTTCTTAGCCTCCCTGTCATCTGTTATCTACACAATGGGGATGATGGTAAATATCTGATGGAGTTACTCATAGATTATATTCAGTAAGGCATATAAAGAACATGTAAATACTTTATAATACCCTGCAATTATTATTAGGTGGTATTGTCATAACATTAGTCAAGAACCTACCTGAAGCTGGGTATGGTGGCACATACCTGTAATCCCAGCTTTTCCAGAGGATAAGACAGGAGGAACACCAGTTCAAGATCAGTTTTGGCAACTTAGTGGGACCTTGTCTCAAAAAAATTAAAAAGGGATGGGGGTGTAGTTCAATTGTCGAGTACTCCTGGTTGAATATCCAGTTAATCTCCATCCCTACCCACCACCCCTAATCTTAGAGGCCAGGGTTTGACCTTGTATATTTCTAAAAATGTTGAATGCAAAACTTCCTCTTGATAATTTGAGAGGCAGGACTGGTACTAAGATACTCGATGTATCTCCCTCAAACTTTTAGCAGTAGAGTATTCTGTGATTTTTTCAGGCCATGAGGAAGGACACCAGCTTACCTTCACAGCAGGCCACGAGGAAGGGGCGACAGCAGCTTATCTTTGCAATCACTTGGGTCCAACATAATCTTGATTTAGCCAAAAAAAGTCCATCTTTAGTAAATGTTTTTTGGTAAGAAACAGTTCACACTCCACTTCCTTGATGATCTTAGCCTGAATGGATGGATCATCTTCCACTCTCCCAAACATTTTAAGTGTGTATCACCTTTACTAACACTTGACATATAATGACAAATAGTTGATAATATTTATGGATTTCATATTCACTATCTCGGTCTTTTCATAAATTTGGAAATTAACATTTGTTAATCAATTTGTACAGTTTCATAGGTTATTAACTAGGTTTTGAGATGTAGAGAACAAGAACAAAACTCATGCATCTTTGTAAAAGTACATAGGTACTTGGTTCAGTTTTATTGATCATTTTGTAATTAAGACCTTTTAGAACATGTTCTTCCAAATATTTCCCATGCCTTTGCTTCTTAGAAGAAGTGTATGAATAAAGAGAGAAATGAGTTTGACTTAAGTAATCCCAGGAAGAACTATTGAGAGGAGTTAATAGACTATGGGTGTAAGTATTACATTATAACTTGGCCAGTCTGATGAAATGTCTACTGTGGGCACACACTGAGAATAAAATGATTAAGGTATCATGTCCATTAAATCAAGTAGCACACAAACTAGTTGAGGGTTTTGGTCATAGGGCTGTGAAAGTTTGTCCTAAGAGTTATATGGTCATTTAAAAATAAAAGAAAGAATATGAATTTATACTTGGAGCCACAGGGTTATGGACTATAATTTAGTTAAATATGTGCCTGGAATACTAGACCTGCTACCCTTTACAACCTTACTTTTGGAACTTGGCATTTCTCCACTGTTGTTTCCAGAAACATCTTTTTAAAATAGACAACTGATTGATGAAATCTTAGGCATGAATAAATATTAATATACATAATAAATTACAGTGTTGTCATTTTATTAGAGACAAAAATATATAGGTATATATAGTCAGATTTTAAAACCTTTACCCAGTGACTTCAAAACTTTAGGTTGCACAAGAATTACCTGGAGCCTTTTAAAATATATATATTGATATTGCTGGGCTCTGCCTCCAGATTTTCTGATTCAGTGGGTCTGGGAGGAAATTGAAAATTTGCATTTTTACCCTACCGAATTGTATTAAGAACTTTTTTTTTTTTTAACTATTAACTTGTCAAATGAACAAAAATCATACTAAATTCTGCATTACATATGTACTATTATACAGTTGACTTTGCTTATAATCTTTATTTAGATTGAATGTTTCTAATACTAGTTTAAATCTTTTGTGAAGCATGATTTTGGAGAGAGAGAGAAATGTAATTGTGTGTATTCTTATTAAGGTATAATTCACACACTATAATATTTGCCCATTTTAAGTGCATAGTTAGTGGTTTTTAGCATAATCACAGAGTTGTGCACCTACCACTACAACCCTAGCTTTAGAACATTTCATCACCCCAGACACAGAGGCTCTGTACCTACTAACAGTCATTTCGCATTCTTCCTCTCCCACTCCCATCCTCAGTCTGAGCAGCTGCTAGCTTTGTCTTTATAGATTTGCCCATTCTGAAGATTTCATATAAATAGAATCATACAGTGTGTGATCTTTTTTGTTTTTTTGTTTTTCATTTAACATAATGTTTATAAGATTCATCCATGTTATAACATGTATTGGTATTTTTTTAATGACTGGATAATATTTCATATATAGATTTACTTACTACATATCATTTACTATTTTTGCTATTATGAATATTACTGCTGTGAACATTTGTGTACAGTTTTTATGTAGACCTATCTTCATTTTTCTTGGGTACATAAGTAGGAATAGAATACTGGATCATATGGTAACTCTATATTTAACAGTTTGAGGAACTGCCAAACTGTTTTCTAAAGTAGCTATACCATTTTACATTCCTATTAGCAATTATAAGGGATCCCGTTTCTCCACATCTTCCCTAAAACTTGATACCTTGTTTTTTTCTTTTTGATTATAGATTATAGCCATTCTAGTGAATGTGAGGTGATCTCATTGTTTTGGGGGGAACTAGGAATGAACCCAGGGATCCTTTCGCACTGAGCTACATCCCCGTCCTTTTTATTTTTTATTTTGAGACGGGGTCATGCTAAGTTGCTGAGGGTCTCCCTAAATTGCCCAGGCTGGCCTTGCACTGGTGATCCTCCTTCCTCAGCCTCCCAAAGTTGCTGCAATTACAGGCATGAGCCACTACACCCAGCCTCATTTTTTGGTTTTAATGTGCATTTCCCTAAAGTCTAATAATATTGTTTTCATGTGTTTACTGGCTGTTTGTGTATCTTGGTTGGAGATATTTCTGAGTCCCTGCCCATTTTTAAATTGAGTTATATTCTCTTTTATTGTTGAGTTGTAGGAGTTCTTCATATATTCTAGCTATAAATTCTTTATCAGTTATAGGATTTACAAATATTTCCTCCCATTCTGTGGGTTGTCTTTTCATTTTCTTGATGGTCATTTAAAGCATAAAAGTTTTAATTTTGAAGAAGTCTCTTTTAAATTTATTTGTAGGGGGTTCATAAGCTTTCATTGTTGTACCTAAGAAACCACTAGGTACCCCAATGTCCTAAAGATTTACTTATGTTTTTTCTCTGAAGAATTTTATAGTTTTAGCTGTATGGTTCATTTTGAGTAATTTTCTGTGTGGTGTGAGATAGGGGCCTAAATTAATCCTTTTCATATGTGAGTGTTCAGTTAACTCTATCATTTCTTTTCCCATTGAAATATATGACCATACTTGCCAAAAATTAACTGATTATAAATGTAAGGGTTTAGGATTTGGAGATCTTTTTCCCTTGAACCTTGGTTTGTAAACATTTGTGCTAGTATTTTCAAAAATTTATTTCTAGAACTTAATTTCTTTTTCTAGGTGAAATGTTTTTCATTTTTGCTTTTAAAAAATCAATAGGTACAAGTAATTACCAAATTAAATATAATTATTAGAAAAACATTTATAAGCTATTTTAGGTAGAAGTTTTGAGGTGTATAAAGAGGTGTATAAAATATCAGGCATTTTGTGGTAGCTCTCTTTAAATATTTGTTTTTGTATTGCTCACTTATAAAAAATGATTAAAATTTGAATAATTGCTAGAAGAAAGTTTACATATTTACATTAGCATTATCACACACAGTAGGAAAGTATGGAAAACAGATGTTCAAGAAGTGGCAAAATTCTGTTGTTATTGTTATATACTGTATTTTGAACACTACCAGGAGTAACATTTCTGAAAATATTAATGATTCATTATTTTCTCACTCTTACAATTATGCTTTCCACATACATGTACACCTTTCAGAAGCTATATTGCTGCTTGATTTGTTTTCTTGGTGAGCAGAGAGGAAATATATTTCTTAGAGAGGCTCTATTGGCTTATTATCATCTTCCTGTTTTATGTGCATGTTACTAAACATGAAGTTCCCAGACTGCTTTTATTTTGTGAAAATGCATCTTTATATGTTTGTGCCAGTGCTATAATTTCCTGTGATATTTCTTGTATACTATACAATGAACATATTTAAGATACCAAGCTGATGACTTTATCATTTAGGAGTCTTTGTCTGAAGTGGAAGAGAAATACAAGAAAGCCATGGTTTCCAATGCACAATTAGATAATGAAAAGAACAATTTGATCTATCAAGTGGACACCCTTAAGGATGTTATTGAAGAACAGGAGGAACAGATGGCGGAATTTTATAGAGAAAATGAAGAAAAATCAAAGGTAATTGCCTATCTTGTATCATAACATTTTATTGGATCAGAAAATAAGATCCAGCCATTTAAAAAGTGATGAGGTCAATAGGGATTTGGAGTTTTTTTCCCCTGTGATCTCCAAATCCAGCCTAAAGAATGATGTATTAATGGTCCAAGAAACATTAAAAAAAATTTTTTTAGTTTTATTTTTTATTTTCCCATTTTTATTTTAGCACATTTGATCAGCATGTGCTCTTTTTAAATTTTTTCTTTTTTCTTTTTTCCAAGAAACATTTTTTGCAAAACTTTTTTGTGTGAACACATTTTCCTTTCTCTTAAGTATACCCTTAGGAGTGAATTTGCTGGGCCATAGAGTAACTCTGTTCAGTTGAGGAATGACAGACTGTTTTCCAAAGGAGCTTCACTGATTTACATTCCTTACCTACAGTTTATGCAGGTTCTGATTTCTTTGCATCCTCACCAACACTTATTATTGTCTGGCTTTAATTCTTGCCATCCTAGTGGATATGATTTTGATTTGCATTTCCCTGATAGTCTGATGCTTTGGAGTAGATTTTCATGGTCTTATTGGTATATTTTCCTTTGAGAAATGTCTATTCAGATCCTTTGTCCATTTTTTAAACTTGGATTATTTGTCTATTATTGATCTATATGAATTTTTATAAGTTCTGAATACAAGTCACTTATCAGATACATGAGTGGCAAGTATCTTCTCCTGTAGACTTTTTACTTTCTTTTGCTTTATTAACTTAAGTCCACTTTAAAGAGAAACTTCCTTATTTCTTATTATTCGGATGAGATGGTTTACATAGGGAATGGGTTTACATAAGGAAGGTAAGATAAAGGCTTAATTCTTTGCCTTTATTTACAAGTTTTCAAAACAAGGAATTATCATTATGAAGTCATGAATTCAAACATTTGGTTTTTTTTTCAGTGCATTGCAGCTTTTATTCTTATTGATGCTCAAATTGTCCCACTTTTGGCTAGTGTGAGCCTCTTCAGGTTTATTCCCCACTATCTTTGATGAGTCTAATTGTTTGTGATAGCTTCTTTGCTTTCTGACAGAAGAAGATGTTCTTGCCTCATTTTGTATATTTTGTGGCGTAGGCTTGGAATCAGCCATTTCCCCAAGGAACCCTGGTCCTCTTTAAGTGGAGCAGTATGGATGATAGGGGTGCTTCTTGTCCCTGAGTTGCTCACTGTGTATAGGCTTTTATTGGATATATCAGGGAAATATGTATGTGGGGCTTTTGTTTGTTTGCTTGTTTGTTTTTTAAAGAGAGAGGTTTTTTTTAATATTTATTTTTTAGTTTTTGGTGGACACAACATCTTTATTTTTATGTGGTGCTGAGGATCGAACCCAGCGCCTCATGCATGCCAGGCGAGCGTGCTACTGCTTGAGCCACATCCCCAGCCCCTGTTTGTTTATTATGAGTTCATGCTGGTAGTCCAAGTTTATATTCAGGACCTTAGGGATTTTACTTAACTTCTTCTGTCTTAATATCTGTATCTCCTTTTTCCCACACTGCAATTTCTATTTCTCAAAGTCACTGGGGATGACAGCAGTTATGTTACATTTTATTCTCACTGCTTTATTCCATGTTACTCAGAATAGCAATACCAACATCAACACATACATAATTACTGAAAGGAGTCAAACATGTTTGGTTTGGTATGGCCTTTATTTTTGCTAGGCTATGTATAGCCAAACTATTGTTTTAAAAAGTTACTTGAAATAGTTTTCTCTCTCCGTGCTTAGGCTACTCTATCTTCTCTATGAATATATAGTTAAGTTCATTGCATTTTATAGTCAGTATGTATGTAGGTGTTGCTTTTGGGTTTTAATTTATATTTTTTATTGTAAACAGCACAACATAAAATTTATCATTTTAGTCATTTTATTTTACTATATTTTCTTACTTATTTTTGTAGTACTAGAGATTGAACATAGTAGTATCACCACTGAGCTACAGTCCCACCCCATCTTATTTTTGTTTTTTGCAATAAGATCTCACTTAATTGCATAGGCTGACCTAGAACTTGTGATGCTTCTGCCTGAGCCCCTTGATAGCTGGGTTTACAGGCACGTGCCACCATGCCTGGCATTTTAGAGTATGGTTGAGTGATGTTAAGGGTATTCATTCACATTGTTGCGCATCAGATCTCTAGAACTTTTTCATCATTTTTTTTCCTCCAGTATTGGGTATTGAACCCAGAACATGCTGACACTGAGCCAAATCCTAACCCTTTTTTATTTTTTTATTTTGAGACAGGGCCTTGTAAGTTGCTCAGGCTGTCCTTGAATTTGCAATACTTCTGCCGTGGCCTTCTGAGTTACTAGGATTACAGATGTGCACTACCATGCCAAGCTAAAAGTTTTGATTTTTATGTAGTTTAATTTATTGCTTCATTTTCCCTTGTTGCTTTCAGATTTTTGAATCATTTTAGGTAAAGTTTCCCTACCTTTGGTTACATTTTTTCCATTAAATTTCTGTGTGGTTAATTGGTTCTGTCTTACTTGCTTTCTCATATAAGATGAAACTTTTTAAGATTTTCAGATCTTTCTGTGGAATGTACAGTTGTTCTAGGTTCCTACAAACCGGCAGTCCAGACGTGTCTGAAACTCACACTTGGCCTCTTTGTTTTATCACATATGTTCTCTGCCATGACCCATATCAATGATGATATCTTTTGTTTAATAACAGGAGCTAGAAAGGCAGAAACATATGTGTAGTGTGCTGCAGCATAAGATGGATGAACTTAAAGAAGGCCTTCGGCAAAGAGATGAGCTTATTGAGGTATGTCCATGAACTGTGGGAATACTCAATTTTGATAGAACATGAGTTGATTAGGATGCAGGTATGTATGCTGGGAGAAGAAAGGTAAAATGCTACAGAGTTTATTGTGTCTTCACATTTGGTTGTCTCCTAAAAAATTTTAAATACGAAACATAAAGGCAGATTTAAAACAAATTATCACTATGAACCCTATAAACATTCCCCCTTCAATAGCCCAGTATTTTAAACACTTTAAAAGATATGGTTGAGTAGTGTTAAGTGTATTCACATTGTTGTATATGAGATCTCTTGAACTTTTTCGACTTTATTTTTATACCTGGTGTTAAACCTTTTGGCACTCTACCACTGAGTTACATTTGTTGGCTTTTTTATTTTATTTTGAGGTGGTCTCCGTAAGTTGCCAAGGCTTACTTCAAATTTGTGATCCTCCTGCCTTAGCCTCCTGATTATCTGGGATTACAGGATAATCAGGAGGCTAAGTCAGGAGGATCACAAATTACAGTATGAGTAGGGAAAGTCGGCAGTGATAATTTACCAACAATGTATAACAAAGCAACTTAAGTACAAGAGGATATCAAGTAAGTATCATTGCCTAATTAAAAGAATTCTTTGAGAATTGCTAAATGTTAAATTCTGGTTTTTCTAACTGATGTTTCCTTTATAATTCATGATGTTCCTACTATTATAGATTCTGCTAACAGGAAATCAGTTATCAAGCTAATACATGTCTTATTTTTTTAGTTCTGTTTTAAAATATAAAATTCAAAAATCCTACTTATTCTCTGTGAAAAAGGATCATTTGTTCATAAACAATTCTAGAAATGTAAGTTGTTCCATGTTTGGGAAAAGCGGTTATCAAAGAAAGAGTACACATATGGAGCCACATGTACACAGAAATCTAGCTGGCTTGCTGCCACATAACTGTGGTTGGAACAGTTATTCCCAGTCCCCTTGCTTGCTTTTGCTTTTTTTTTTTTTTTTTTGGCGATGCTGAGGATCAAACCCAGAGCCTGGTGCATACTAAACATGTACTCTGCCAGTGAACTGCACCCCTAGAAGCCCCACCCCAACTTTTGTAGGGGCAAGCCAGTGAGACTCCTGTTGCAATACCCTGGATGTCATCTTTCCTTTTAGCAAACCACTCTTGCCTTTTCTGTTTATCCCACACTTTTAAAAAGTTTATCAGCTTTATTTTTTATCTGTTTTCCTGCCTCTGATTCCTTCCCTTTTTTCTTCTGCTCTTTTATTACTTCTCTTCCCCTCTTCCTCTGCAGGAGAATCAGCGCATGCAGCAGAAACTAGACACCATGACAAAAGAAGTGTTTGACCTCCAGGAGACACTTCTTTGGAAAGATAAAAAAATTGGGGTATGAGATGAAGTTGGGCTTTGATTAGAAGCTCATTGATGAGGAATAGACCAATAGAATTTAACTTAGGGACTCCTAAAAATCTGGCCTTTCGATTGTTCTTGAGTAGTTATACAATGTGAAATATGATTAGCAGAAGACAGAGGGTCTTCCATGGGAAAACCTGATTTTGTGCCTAGAAAGAATTCATCTTTCCAGCCAACTTGGGGCTTGTGAAACCTATGAGTAGAACTTTTAAAAGAAGGTGTTCTTCTTGCTCCTAGGATCCATATCCAGAAGCAGCCACAAGCATTTAATTCAAAGTTTGTGGGTAGTTTGATATGTTTACAAGAATCTGAATAAGAAGCAGAAAGATAGGGAGGGGGATAGGGAAAAAATTATGAGCCTCCTATAAATTCTCAGTGAATAAAATGGGAAGAGATTAAAATCAGTTCAATTATGGAAGTTGATAGGAATGTTAGACTAGGGTGAGTTGCCAAACTGTGACATCATCTCTAATTATAAATCCAGAACTCCCTAAAGCAGAGCCCAGATAAGGGAAAAATTCCTCATTGCTTTTTTGCTTAGTCTTGCAGGTAGATTCCAAGTACTCTGGAAACTGAAAATTGTCAGGTGTCCTTCAACTGACAATCCTGTCTTTTGGCATGAGCTTTCTGTTCTGCCTTGGGTCCGTGGGTCCTTCGTAGTTGCCAGAGGCTTACCTTTTTAGGGAAAGGAAACAAAAAACAAATGAGGAAAGTCTTGTTTTTTTTTTGTTTTGTTTTGTTTAAGATTAGATAGGGCAGTGAAATGTTGGCAGAGATCCACAAAAGCACTTGTGGATGTGACAGACATGCTCAGATATGAATGCTCTGCAACAGATCCTTCCTTTTTAGGGCCATTCTGATGCCAAGCTGGTGGTCAGGTGTACCCCATTCTTTTCACCATTCCAGGTACCTCATCTTTAGTTAATAAACACAGAGGAGTTCATAGATCAAGAATTTAAAGAACTAAACTACTTTTAGATAAATTTCTGATGCTTAAGTTACTGAGTTTCTGAAACTTCATCCAAACCTAGGAAAGCTTTCTGAGGGATGAATGAGCAACTCTATTAGGCATCTTGAAATTGTGGTTGTGAACTACTGATTTTATTTAAACTTTTACTTGGGAATTATAAAATGAGATATGAAAAATTTATGTTACAAATTAGGCAATTTGTAAAGCATAATTAAAAATCTAGTCATTGTCTACAGTGGGCTTCTTTTAGGACTTTACATAATTTCCTTTAGCACAAATCTACAGATCCAGGGTTTCTAATTTGTATAGTTGTCTCAGTTTTTGAAACTGAGTATTGTGGACCAGACTTAGAAACTCTTAAAACATTTAGTTCAATAAAATGTTCTTTGCTACCAAACGGGCATGCTGATGGTTAAGTTATAAACTTGGCTTTTTAATTGTCTGGACATTTTTTGAATGAATAACTGTGGCTTATTCTGTGGCTGTACAATTATGCATTCCTTTGACTTCTTAAAATTAAACATTTTTAATTTTGAGAACATTTTAGAGTCACATGCAACTATAAGAAATAATACAGAAAGATCCTGTATGCCTTTTATTCTGTTTTCCCAAATGTTCCCACATTGCAAAACTAGTATAATAAATATCACAACCAGGATACTGTATATAATAAGTTGAGATACAGAAGTTTTCCATTCCCAAAAGGGATCTCTCTTCCCTGTCCCGACTCTGGTACCCAGGAACATTCTACCACTGAGCCATATCCCCAGCCCTTTTTAGTTTTTATCTTGAGACAATGGTCTTGCTAAATTGCTAAGGCTGGCCTTGAATTTGTAATCCTCCAGCCTCAGCGTTCTAAGTCCTTGGGATTACAGGCATGCACTATTGTGCCTAGCAGATCACTCCTCCTTTTTGGCCACATCTACTACCCCTGTCCCTCCCACCCCAAGCTCTGTTTTCTATTTCTATACTGCTGCCATTTAAGAATGTTTTATGAAAAATTGTTCTAAAATACAAACAACATACAATTTACCATCTTAACCATTTCTTAAGGGTATAGTTCAGTGGCATTTAAGTATATTCACAGTGTTGTGCTACTGTCACCGCCATCCACCACCAGAATTTTTCATCTTCCCCAGCTAATACTTTGTTCCCATCAAAGAGCTGCCATCCCTGCCAGCCATCTTTTTACTCTATCTGAAGGTACTGTACTGTATAAATACAATCGTATAGTATTTGTTCTTTTATAAGTGGCTTATTTCATTAAGCATAATCTCTACAATAATCAGTATTGTAGCATATGTCAGAATGAATGTCCTTAATTTTTAAAGTTGACTAATATTCCATTGTATGTGTATACCACATTTATCCATTGATGTACACTTGGGTTGCTTTTCCCTTTTGGAAGTTGTGAATAATTCTCCTGTGAACATGGTATACAGTTATCTCTTTGAGATCATGCTTTCAATTGTCTTGAAATACTCAGCAGTGGAATTGCTGACTCATATAGTAATTCTATGTAAATTTTTGAGGAACAGTCATTCCATTTTCCATAGTGACTATGTCCTCTTACATTCCCATTAGTAGTGCACAAACATTCCAATTCCTCCACAGTTTCTCCAATACGTGTTATTTTCTTACTGTAGGTAGCCATTATTATCTTATTATTAGCCGTTCTAATAGATTCAAGGTAATCCTCTTTTAACTTTGAAGACACATTTCAGTTATGGTCAGTGACTACTTAATACATCATTTGTCTCCAGCATCATTTCCAAGATTAGATTTTGTGACTTCCCGGTTGAAATATGTCTGTGATTCCCAGGTTAGAGTTCAGTTTTTCTAGTTGTTCCTTCAATGAGCTCAATGGTCTTGCCTCTAGTTCCACTGCAGTTCTCCCTAAATGCCCATGTGTAGAGTAAGTGTATACAAAGGCCCTGTGTGCTTGGCTAACCCATCATACATTTGTTCCCATTCTGAGTAAGATATTTGTGGCCCAGAACAATTATATGGTGATTTAACCTGTTGCCTCAAAGTTCAGCCATATATATTGCATATATCTCTGTTTGGCCTTTTGAGGTTAGGTTAGGGATAAAGAATTATTTAGATCTCCACAAACATGTACTTTTTCTCTAAAAAAAAAAATCAACTGTAGGAACTATTATTACATGCAAACACAAGGGTAGTTGTTATATATGGTCAGGTAATGCCACAGGATTGCAAATCCAGCATGAATACGTTTTATCCAATTATAAGGTATTTTGGTAGTTTTCAAACTTTGTGGTGAAATGGACAGATATACAGGATATATTTTATTTTCCCATCTACAATTGTGGGAGGATGAAATTAAAAAGTCTAAAAGTAAAAATTAAAACCCAGCAGTACAAATGTGGAAAGAGGAGAAAATGTCATGTACTAGCATTTGCTAGAATTCTTGGTTTCAAATTGGTCTGTTCCTAAGCGGTCTTTTATATTCAGTGGTATTGTTTCTATAGAGCATGTTGTGACAGTGATCATTTACTCAGTTACATGTGGTGATGCATGGCATAATTATGCATGCAGATACCAATAACTAAAAGTACCTAACCCAGTAGAAATTAAAGTGTGGCTATCCGCTGATGGGAAGATATCACTGTGCTTTGTTCTCCTGATGTTCCATTTGTTAATAATCTAATAGAGTGTTAATGCTATCCCCAAGTGTTAGAGTAAAGACCATATGGTACTAGAAACTCAAACTAATTTACAGGTAGATCATATAATACAAATATAAACTATAAAAGGAAGTTAGCCCAACTGTGGTTAGCGCATAATCCTGCTGTAATCCCAGCAGCTCTGGAGGCTGAGGCAGGAGGATTAAGTTCAAAGCCAGTCTCAGTAAGAGTGAGGCGCTAAGCAACTCAGTGAAAACCTGTCTCTAAATAAAATACAAAATAGGGCTGGGGATGTAACTCAGTGGTTGAGTGCCCCTGAGTTCAATCCCCAGTTATTCTCACTGGCCCCTGCCAAAAAAAAAAAAAAAAAAAAAAACAAGAGGAAGTTAAGATATTGACATTGCAATTGGATAAGAGCAGACTTGCCCTGTGACCTACTTTTCTAGCATCATTTGGGATGATAATCAAGTAACATAATGCAACCTCTATAGAACTGTGATATAAAAAAAAAAAACTGTGTATGCAGAGTCTTTGGAACCAAAAAGAATTAGATTCATTTTCTGGTCTTGCCACTTACTGTGACTTTGGGGGAAAACCAACCAACCAACCAATCAACAAAAGGAAGACCCACCACCACCACACCCACATACAAAAAAAACACTTCTCTGAGCCTCAATTTTCTGATCTATAAAATGAGGATAAGACAAGTAGTACATTTGCACTGTACATAAAGGAGATATTTCATATATAAAATTACATATAAGGGAGAAATTATGGGCACATAAAATAGCTCCTGCCATATAATTTGTGTTCCACAAATGGTCATTGCTATGATTCCTTTTTAGTCCCAATTTGGCTGCAGAATAGAATTACAATGATTTTTAAAAATTGCTCGATTGTATAGTAACTAAGCAGTTGGCCCACTTTGAAACCTAGTCAACTGAGAGATAAGTTTACCTGTTGTAATTTAACTTCTTGGGTTTATGGGAATGCTGGCAGAAAACATTAAATACAAGAATAAGTATGTAGAGAGACTTTTTGAAGTAGCCCAGCTGTGAGGTCCCTGCATAGATTACTTAAGGTAGTAATGTTTTAAAGTCTGGGTTACTACATAGTAGATTTGATTTTTTTTTCTGCTTTTGCATTGTCCTCCTTCCCTTTGATAGTCCTGAGATTCAGGGAGTTCCCAGTGGAAACACCAGTCTGCTTTCTCTGAACCTCTCCTGTGGCCTTGGCTACTGCAGGTAGTGCTCTTTGCTGAGTACCCCTTTAAACCTCTACCCTTGGGGTGAGCACTGTTGCTATCTCTACTGTTTATCAGATGAGGAAATTGAGGCATAGGTAAATTAAATATATTCCAGGACTTAAAAGCTTTATCCTGGAACCCATAATCTGCCAGCCTCCATAGGTGGGCTATGTTTATTTTGTCAATGTCTTATTTTTGCTTTTCACATTTTGAAAGTACATCAGAAAACCAAATGAGTCTTAATTGTATTTTATTAAATTAACAGAAATCCTGGAAAATCCCTTTGGAGACTTGCTATTTTGGACTAAGTGGTATTTGAGTATTTTGCCACATTATTTGGAGAACAATCATACAGCCAATATTTAATTAAAATAACTTACGTATACTGGTTATTTTTCTTCCAAAACCAACTTTTTATTTTAAAGAGATCAGATATATTCTTGAATAAGTTGTTTTAGTTAAACATGAAATACTTCTTGTTGTTGGTGACCAAATGAAAATGTACTAAGGAGGTCAGTGAGGAAAGTTTTAACTCTTGCTGCTGTCTTCATCTTCCTTTTCCTATTTTCTTCTTTGACTGGAAAAGAAAGATTTTTTCCTGCTAGATGTGATAAGCATGTTTTGCTAAATTTATGCATGAGAACCAGTTTCTACTAAAGCTCTCTTCTGCAGATGTATACTCATATAACCATTTCCTCCCCTGACTGCTTGTTTCCCAGCTTTTAATGGCCTCCTTGCTTTTTATGCCTTTATCTTTGCTTATTTGAATTAGTTACCTTTCACTTGCTCTTTTTCTGTGCCATTTTTTCCCTTGCTACCCTTCCTAAAACCAGGCCCTAGAGAAACAGAAAGAATACATTGCCTGCCTTAGGAATGAGCGAGATACGCTCAGAGAGGAGCTGGCTGACCTGCAGGAGACAGTGACAGGAGAGGTATGTGAGCATGAGCTAGAGCTCAGTTTCCCCACTGCTTTACTCTTTCTCTTATCCTGTCATCTTTCCTATCCTGAATACAAACCACAATTTTGATCTGGTTTGATTAAGTCATTTTCTTCACAGAGGTGTCTATATATTCCATGTAATTGATTCTAACTAGGTTTCCCCCGTGGCAAACATACATTGTTGCAGAGTTACCTCACAGAGCTTCTGCTTCCATATGAGCCATCTTTTGTGATGGTGGGTTGTGTTTTTTTTTTTTCCTTTTCCACAGAAACATGGTTTAGTTATAATTCCTGATGACACTCCCAATGGTGATGTCAATCATGAACCAGTGGTTGGTGCCATTACTGTTGTGTCTCAGAAAGCTGCTCAGGTCCTGGAGTCAGCAGGAGAAGGGCCACTAGGTAAGACTGGTTGCTATTTTATCTTGGATCAATGTTGTTGGACTTCTAGTTTGTTCATAATCCAGCTTGGAAAACAAAAACAGGATAAGGGCCATCTGAAACTCATCTAGCTCCCTAACAGGAAGATCTGGATGTATTATCTTTAGACATCTTTTGACATTGGGTAACCAGCATCTGAGTCATTGTGAGGCAGTTAAGTGTAGCTACAAGGTCCCTGAATGGAAGCATATGGGTCTGCACCCAGTGCTTTTCACGAAAAAAGTCAAGCATGCCTATCCCAGGGAGGCTGTGGGTTGGCAGCAACTTTCCAAGTGTATTTTTAGTTTTTTCTTCCTGGAACATCTGGTTTTGTGTTTCACTACTTAGTTCAGGGATAGCTCTTTGCCATCACATTTCTTAAGGCAAGAAATAGATGATCAGGAACAATGGGTATCAGAGGCCTGAGATTTCTAGAGCAGGGCTTCTAAGCCTCTTAAAATCTGGACCTCTTAAATGTCATTCTGAGAACCTAGTGGCACCTCTCCCAAGGAAACCACCAGGGGGCCCATCCGTTGTCCCTAACAGTCCTACTAAAGGAAGAAGAATAACACAGATAGTTACTGTATTATCAGCTCACTTTTACCTATTAAGAAACAATCCTTTTACATTTTTCACTTGTTTTTATATATGCCAAGGTTTCCTAAAGGAGCAGGAGGTGCTGGAAAAGTGGCACAAGCTGATAGTATTTTAAAAGTTAGTAAGCAGGTTCTTCAATATGCAGAATTTCTGAAATGTAGTTATAGGGCACTTTGATAAAGTAGAAGATGCTGGGTGGGTTAGAGGGAAGATCTAGAGAATGGAATAAGTAGAGTCTAGGGTAGCTCAGAGTATTTCTTCTGCCTGTTTGGAAAGTGCTGAAGAAAACAGAACTTATATTTGGCTGTGACCCTTATTAATTGTGGGATGTGCTTCTTTAACTGAACTATTGTAGTCTCCTCAGACCCAGGGGCCTATGTTACTTAGCTTTTCATCAGTGTGAACAAAATAACCTGAAAATAACAATTTGGAAGAGGAAAGACTTATTTTGGCTATGGTTTCAGAAATTTCAGCCTGTGGTCTGCTAGTTCTGTTGTGCTATGGTGAGACAGAACATCATAGTGGAAGGGGTATGGTGGAGGAAAGCTTCTCAGCTCCTCTCAGTCAGGAAGTAGAAAGGAAAGAAGAGTAAGCAAGGAGGCAGGCATGCCCCTGGTGACTTAGTTTCTTCATCTATGCCCCACCTACTTACAGTTCCCACCCAGTAGTTCATTCATATTATTACTCCACCAAACGAATTAGTCCACTGATGAAGTTACAGCTCTCATGATCCAATATTTTTTCCTTGGAATCTTGCTACATTGAGGATTGTGTTTCTAACACAGAAGCTTTTCAGGGGACACTTCATATCCAAACTATAACAGGGCTTATATTGGTGCCTGCTTAGGAAGAAACAACATACTCCACAGGCTGGGAGCAAGCCCTAATGACCCTGCTTCCCAGCACCAGATTTGCCCATGGCTGCCCCCATCTTAAGAGTTTTCCAACTCTCACTCACTAAATTTTGTGGGAATTTGCTCCTTTTAGCATTATGGTCCTCTGTTTTCTTGGCTTTAGCTTACCCTTGCCCAGACCCTGTCTTTCACAACTTTTGAGCTCTCCTGCTAAAAGTAGAAGCCTGTGGGACTCCCATTGGCATTTGAGTTTTTCTGTCTAGTGGTGAAAGTTTGTAAATTTTAGAAACAAGGAAGTGGTCTCCTTTGTGCTTCGATTTGTCCTTAACTGGAAAAATCACTGTTTTAGGAGCAAATGTTGTATTTGGTGCCCTGATAAACATCAATGTGTGGAAATACATTTGGGATAATTAAGTAATAGTATGAAAGTTTCTATTTCTTTTCATACTTGGAGCTGTAGGTAATGTAACTTATCAGATGTTTGCTATTTGAGAAATTGTTTATATACTACTTCATTACAAATTTAGTTTATAGCCTTTTTCATTTGTTTCAGATGTAAGGCTACAGAAACTTGCAGGAGAAAAGGAAGAGCTACTATCACAGGTAAAGACTTTCTTCTTTTTAGAAGATATTGTTAATTTACCTAAGTTACATGGCAGACTGTTAATAAACTATTCATTGGAAATTGGAAATGTGCTTATTTTAAACCTCAATACTTAAGTGAAATTTAAAAGATAGTGCATATTTTGTGTCTTTGTTGTTTCTTACTCTTAAAAAACTATAGGACACAATCTCCAGTGAGTCATTGAGTTCCGCAAAGTAAGTGGAGACAGTAGTCCTTTGCCTGACTCCTCTATCAGCCCTGACCATTTCTATTTAGTTTACAGCTGACTCTTTTGGTTTGTAACCTGCTTATGTTGCTTCTTGATCGTTCTGTTTTAGGCATTCTCTGTTGACATTCCTCTGTGGAAGATGAGAACTTAGCTGTCTTTCGTCCTTTGTCCCTATCTTGGACGTGCATACTTCCCCATCCTCATATCCTATTAATGAAGGAACAGTGTAATTCTAGTCTGTTTATGTCATCAGGACTTCTGAGCATTACTCACAAGGAAGCCATGTGACATTCTAGGCTTGACTTTCATCTCTTTCACAACCATTTGTTAATACTGTGGTTTTTCTTTTCGTTTCATTTTCCTGGTTTTCTTTGTGTTTATCATTAATTTAGCCACAGAGTTTTAAGCAGTAGTTTAAACCCATTCTTGTTGTTTTCACATGCATCAGATATTCTCTTGTTTTATCTTCAGAAGTCTTGGCTCTGACTTGACCCATTCTAAACTAGTGGCTTTCTCCTTCCACATGCAGATGTGATCATGCTGTCTTGGCACGTGGGACTTTTCTCTGCCTATGATTTGGGCTCAGTTCCCTTTTCCTAGTCTGATGCCTTCTTCCTTTATTTATTCTTTTATTTTGGTGTATCTTCCATAACTTCCTGAGGAAAGGGTATGTGGGCTGTTAACTTTTCATGATGTTCTGGGCCTAAAGTGTCTTTTATTTTTACTCTCTTGCTTGATTATCAGTATCTAATTCTTCTGGTCTGCAGCATTTCCCTTTGGATTTTAAACAAACTTCTCTGTCTTCCAGTGTGGTTAAGAGTGTTGGAGGACATTTTGATTTTTAAATCTTTTTTAGGTGACATATTTTTACCCTGCTTCTGAAAGCTCATGTCCTATTCTCTTTCTCATTAGTGTTTTAAAATTTCAGTGATGCGTTTTGAAGTTTTATTGCATGACACTGGACCCTGTCAATTCTAGGAACTTCTATTTTTAGTTCTGGGAAAATTTCTTAAATTACTTTGTTGACTTTTCCCTTACTCCTCCTACTCAATCATTCATCAAGTGTTGAGAGAGATGCCACTATTTAACAGTCACTATTCTACACACTTGGGATATTTAAGTGAATAAATCAGTTCAGAAACTGATCTGTCCCAATCTTACATTGTAGAGAGAAGAGATCAGAGATAATAGTGAATGTAATTAAGTAAATTATATGCTATGTTAAAAGTTTATGTGAATGCATTTATTATAAGTGTTTCACTAGCTACAGTCAGCTCCATGGGTAGAGGTCATGACTGAGTAGAGTTATATTTTACTAGGCAAGTATAATGGGGCAAGGGAGGTGAGGGAGTATAGAAGAGAATGATGAGTCTACTGGACCTAGAAATTAATCTGGATAAGGAGGATTGAGAGGATATCCAAGAAAACATCAAGGCACTGTGAAAATACCATAGAATCAGTGGACTAGAAGTAATAGTGGAGTTGAAGTATGTTAGGGTCTATAGATAATGAGTTGGAAAGATTAGGAATCGTGGTGAGGGGGAGGATGCATGGAGCTGAATTGTATAGGAACTGTTCTCTAATGTTGAGATCTAATCTATGACTATAGCATGAGTGGCTAGGGACAAGAAAGGGTGGATAGCAAGATCCTTGGAGAGGAAGTATTCCAGAAACTGAGAGATGAGCCCAAGAGCCTCTCTGTAGGTGTTTCTTGAAATTACTGAGAATGAAGATGGGTGGTCTTGAGGAACTAAAATGCTGATGGAGTGGGATGATGGAGGTGAGGAGAGGGAGGTAGTGTGTGTAATTTGAAGAGATGAAATTAAGAACTGTGCCTTTAAAGGAGGATGGGGTGTAGAATAATTCAGTACCAGCAAGGAAAACAAGAGGACACCTATTAATTTCCGGGTTCAGTGGTAGGAGGCTGTGGAAGAAAAACAAAAACAAAACACCCAGTACTTGGTGGGACTGTAAAAGAATGTAGATGAGCACTGAGGTAAAGGAAGAGCTCAGAGAAGATGCTGAAGGAGGCAGGGGCTTGCTACTGATGGACTGACACTTCCAAAGGGCACAGTAGAAGAGTTCCAGGCACTGGGAATGGTTAGGAGATGAAGGTTATGGGCTGTATAGTCTTGTGGGGAAAGAGTGCAGAAGAGGAAGGACGACCCTTTTCGAAATGGATGTAATGATTTCCTCAAGGCAGAGAATACTGGCAACCCCATGAATGTTCAGAAGTCAGAGGTGTCTGGGAAGCATGGGTTTAGTCCAGTGCAGAGCTCACCCTTTCCCCATGAGGTTCGTGGCAAACTTCCTCTTGACTACTGTGGATAGAGTTGAGGACAGTTGGGAAGCCACTTGGACGTTTCCAATCATTTTTGTATATAGAAAGCTTTCTAAATATTTCACTTATCTCTAAATTAAACATTAATGGTGATAAGAATAAATTGTAACTGCTTGTGAAACTTTCCATTTTTAATAAAAGTAAAATACCCAAAGATGTACTGTTCTGTAAATATACACAAATAATAAAATATGGCTGTTTTTATTGGGACACCTGGTCCTAGGGCTCACTTCTTTTTATATTTGTTTAGAGCTTACCTCTAGTACCTAGAATCGTGTGTCCCTTAGTTGGCACTCAAGAAAATCATCTGAATGGAATGATTTGTATGGCCAATATGATGAGAATCTGCTTTGTTTTGTGATGTGGCCACCGGGTCAAGCATCTGCTTCATTTGAGAGAGTGGATTTTGACAGTGACATTTATTTCCATTTCAGATTAGAAAACTGAAACTGCAGTTAGAAGAAGAACGGCAGAAGTGCTCCAGGAATGATGGCACAGCGGGTGACCTGGCAGGACTTCAGAATGGCTCAGACTTGCAGTTTATCGAAATGCAGAGTAGGTACTAGGGGACAGGCCAGTCTCCATTTGTATACAGGTGTGTCCCCAGAGTGGGATTGTGAGCAGGTTGTTGGGTTCTCATACTCACTTGTTTTGGTCATTGGTTAGTCTAGACAGCAGTCAGTAAAGCAGCTGAGGAGGCTGCATTGGTCTGTGGCCTTTAGGTATATGAGAGGACACCATCTTGCTCTCCTGCTGTTTCTGGGCAAAGGAGTTTATTGGAGCTTTTTGCAAGTTGTGAAATGCCTTTGACAACCTGATACTGTCCTTTGTCACACCCAGGTGTAACTTTAAGCTCCCATGCAGCACCCTTCCCCCATTAAAGTTTTGTAGAATTTATCTTGGATAATTGGAGATTTGGGACTAATACTAATGTTAAGTAGTTTTAAATTTTTTTCTAGAAGTACTTTTTTATTAATTTATTTTAATTAGGTATGTATGACATCAGAATGCATTTTGAGTCATTGTACACAATTGCAGCACAGTTTTTCATTTTCTGGAAGAATATTTTAACCCAAATTAGTCTCTAGATGGAATTTTAAAAAGATCACAAGTCTAATGTACTGTTTATCCAGATTATTCCAGTATTTAGCCCTTTCTACTTTTGACCCCATATTATTTTTACACACTTATAGCATTCATATTAAATCCCTAGCTCAGGGATTTCAGCAGCCATTGGTATATAGTTGGTTTTGTTGGTGGTGGCATAATTTATAGACAGGGAAAGACTGATTTTTCCAATTTGAATAGCTTTCCTGATAACTGATTTTAAAATCTTGGCAATTAGGTAAATAATCTGAATTTGGTCAAATAGATAAGACTTTTTGAATTAAGGTTTATTAGTACCAACTTTTGAAGTATTACTTCTTCTTTTGGAGTCAGCTAAAATGCTAATAATGTTTCCTGGTGAATGTTTTGTTACAGAATATCATTTCACTGTGGAGGGTTGATGAAAACAGGGACAGGATTAGAGGGGGCTGGCTAGTTAGGAAGATATGATGGTGAGCCTGAATCAGTACAGGGACTTCTTTTTTTTTTTTTTTTTTTAAAAAAAGAGAGTGAGAGGAGAGGAGAGAGAGAGAGAAAGAGAGAGAGAGAGAGAAATTTTTTAATATTTATTTTTTTAGTTCTCGGCAGACACAATATCTTTGTTGTATGTGGTGCTAAGGATCGAACCCGGGTCGCATGCATGCCAGGCGAGCGCGCTACCGCTTGAGCCACAACCCCAGCCCCAGTACAGGGACTTCTGACAGGAGAAATTCAGAAGGAATTGAAGAGAAATGGGCTGGCATTTATGTGTGGCTACTTTCTAGAGCCAAGTGGGTGTTGTAGAGCTGGATTTTGCAGAAGGAAAAAGTCTCCAGGGATGGGGGCGCAGGGCGGGGGTGGGAGGTGGAATAAAACAAAGTGAGCTGAGCAGGACTGTGGGAATGCCAGGCCCAGCTGGTGAAGACAAAAGCAAGCAGCTCCCTTGGACCAGAAGGCCAGGAAAGGGGCCCAGGCAACTCTTGGCTTTGAAAAGCACCTTGGCAGACATGGTGCTTTGGAATGAAATGACACATGAAATGACTGAGACAAGGGACTTATACTTTTGTAAACAGGAAGGAATGGGTGGGTTGAAAAGTGAGAGGGAAGCAGCATATTTTGATAATCAATAGATTGCTAGGGATAAGAATTGAAAAACAAGACCCTAAAATTGAAAAACAAGACCCTTCTGTTACAGAGCTTGTGAATGGAATAGCTCTCTTCACTTCCAGGGTGGCTTTATAACCCCGTGAAAGGTGATAGCAGCTATACTATTCCAAACATCTCTTTCATTGAAGATAATTAAGTAGTTATAATCTTGACCATGTGGAAATATAGAAAAGTTCTTAGGTTATTTGAGTATTTCTTTTTGTTTAAAAGTTAGATTTACTTTATCTTCTTCAAGCTAAGATGATTCTATAATCATTGTATAGGGAAATTTTTGTTAAATTTGGGTTCCTGGAGGGAATTTTTATTCCGTGCCCCATTCATTTCTCAGTTTCTCATTTTAAGTGATTTATTTCTTAGGTCAGATGCACATCTAATGATTCATAGCTCTTTGCAAACATTATCACAGTTTATTAAAAAGCATTTCTTCTAGCAAATACTGAAGCATCCAAGGCTAAGACAGAGCCCCTTACCTTACACACACACACATATACAAACATATACTTACTCTCTCTCTCTCTCTCTCTCTCTCTCTCACACACACACACACACACACACATACACAATTTGAAAATATGATCAGTGTCATAAAAAACAAATTTTAATGCCATAAGGGAAGGAGAAGATACAGTTAACTAAAGAGAGTCATGCAGGAGATGAAAGGGCACTTGAGGTTTGGGGGAGCAGAAGCAAAACCTGGAAGGTGGGAGGTACAGGGTTAGGTTTGGGGAACCAGAAGGCCCAGTTCTGTGAGCATGGAGGCTCTGTGGGATACAGGGCTACAGATGAAGTTGCTTCCTTGGCAGGGTTTCTTTCTCCAGGTTTTGCTCACAAAGATCAAGGGGTGAAGAAAGACTTTTCTCTGAATTTCTAGTTCAAGGGAATGCTGTTGCAACATAAGTGCTGGAGATTCAGCAGCCCATCACCTGGCTGCTGGAGATGTGGCAATTGCTGTGTTTTGTGTTTCATAGTCTCGGAGGGCACATTTTTCTGCATCTGCATATCCGAAAGATGAAGATTATTCATCATTATATTCTGTTCTAGGAGATGCCAATAGACAAATTAGTGAATACAAATTTAAGCTTTCAAAAGCAGAACAGGATATAACCACCTTGGAGCAAAGTGTAAGTACTTCTTCTGTATGGTACTTTGTGATTTAAATTTTTTTAAAAACATCTCCACTTCCTGCATCTAAGTGGCTAACCCTATGAGTGCAAGAGTTACTGTGAGGTTTTTTATTTGTTTGTTTGTTTTTTTGATGGTGGTACTGAGAATTCAGTCCAGCAGTGTTCTACCATTAAGCTGTATTTTCAGCCCTTTTTATTTTTAAGTTTGAGACAGGGTTTTGCTAAGTTGCCAAGGCTGGTCTAGAACTTGTAATCCTCCTGCCTCAGCCTCCCAAGTTGCTGGGATTATAGGCATGCATCAACATACCCACCTTATTTGGGTCTCCAAAAAAGCTCTTTAAAATAGAGAAGCCAGCAGAGAGCACCTGGCAGGGCGCTTTAGCCTTCTGTTTTCTCTAAAAACATAAAAAAATATACCTAATAATTGTTTTTTTTGTAGATATTTCAGAAGAATTCAAGATCATAACATCTAACAAAATCCCTTAGTGTACATTTAAAAAAGTCTAGAAACTTCTCCAGTGAGTCTCCTCTTACAATGCTACTGTGGCACTTAAACAATATTTTATCATAAAATTGGGAAATTGGCCCAATGACTCTATATCTGTAATCCTCTTGGAGATTCTTCTTGGTTTATAAATAGTAGCTGGGTCTGAGAAGACCTATGACTCATCCTAGGGGGACTCATTAGTGTTAGATTATTTAGAAATCATAATGATGTTATATTTCCATTGTGGCTACCAAATAGTGGTAGTGAATACTAGATGCCTGTATTCTCATATTCACAGATTAACCGGCTTGAGGGGCAGGTGCTGAGATACAAAACTGCTGCTGAGAATGCTGAGAAAGTTGAAGATGAACTGAAGGCAGAAAAGAGGAAGCTACAACGAGAGGTACTTGTTTTAATATACCTCTTGGAGAATACATTCCTAAAAAGAAAAAATCCTTTGGAAATAAACTCTTTACTGCCCAAGAAACTTGACACTGGGTCAAATCTTAAGGAAACAGCAGTTGAATGTCACTTACTCTTGTTACCTGCATGTTGACTGCCACTTACTTTTTTGTCTTGGTCAGTTAGACTTAATATTAATAAGTTAAAAAGGTGATTTTCATTTTTGTTTCAGATTAGGTCTATTTCTGCATATTCTCTATGTCCTTTCTGTGATTTTTTTGTAGGGGAAGGTACCAGGGATTGAACTCAGGGGCACTCAACCACTGAGCCACATCCCCAGTAATATTTTGTATTTTATTTAAAGACAGGATCTCACTGAGTTGCTGAGTGCCTCACTTTTGCTGAGGCTAGCTTTTTTGAACTTGTGATCCTCCTGCCTCAGCCTCCTGAGCAGCTGGGATTACAAGCATTTGCCACCACACCCAGCCCTTTCTGTGATTTAAACAAATAATACATATAATCATTGTTTAACACCTATAGGTGACATAAAAAAAAATAGGCTGTTTTGGGATCATGTGTGAGGCCATCACAACTTGCAATGCTTCTGTTTCCCAGAAAATTGAAAATAAAGTAGCACTGAGTTTTGTTTCTGAGTTTTGGGCCACATGAAGTCACTGTGCTCTCTCCCTGTCTCCAGTTACGAACAGCACTGGACAAGATTGAGGAGATGGAAATGACCAACAGTCACCTGGCCAAGCGGCTAGAGAAGATGAAGGCCAACAGGACAGCACTTCTGGCCCAGCAATAGGGCAGCTGCCCTTTGACCTGGGTGCTGCTCTGTGGGGCCCTGCCCAGAGGGACTGACTCTTTTTTGTACATTGACACAAACCCTTTCAGTACTGTTTTGAGTTTTTGTCATTAAAAACATCCACCTTTGTATTTTATAATTTATGAGAATGAAGCAGGTTTGAATCTTCATGAACGAACACTTTGGATTTTGTGTGTAGTTTGATTCTAGACTAAGAACTGGTCTGTGCTATTCATGTTTTGTTTCCATAATTTTAGAATCATGTTTACTCAACATTTTCCCCCAGCTCCCTCAGTGACTGGGCACTTGGAGGCCTTGGCACGAGGTCTGGAGGACAGCAGTTCTATTGCGCTGAGATACTTGCTGGAGACCTCAGAAAACACAAGTGCCTTCTCCACAGAGCAATTCAGACTTCACTGGTATCCCGTGGTCAAAAGACATCTACCCGTCATATGAGATAGTGTTTATATTTTAGTGAAGAAATAAGTTCAAGCATCGGAAATCAATGTGTTTCACTCAAATTTATATGTTTGGAGGAAAACCCCCCCTTTTTTTGTAAAATATTTAAATTTATATAAGAAAATGTTAGAAAAAGATACGGGGAATGTATATAAAACTTGCTTTATTGCAGGGGGTAGTGGAAGTCCAAGGCCTATTCTCTTAGAGTAAGAGCAGGGTCCTTATTCTTCCATATCAACTATGCTGTACCTTCTAAAGTATTTTCATCAGCTGCTTATTTGTGGAATGAACCTCAGACAAGCCCAAACGTGGAGGGAAGGGCAGGGCAGGCAGGTGGGAAATCTGCCTGTGAATTCTATTAAAAATACCCTTCTTGCCGACCTCAAGTGGCTGTTGACACATTCATTTTATTATAGGAGACTGTGAAACAAATCACGGCAGCCACATCTCTCCCTAGCTTCCTCCTCTTTTCTCTCCTCAAGGAAAAATTATCTGGAATGTAGAACTTTTTCTTCTACAATCTTTAATTTCATCTTTAAAGGCATCCAGTTCAATGTGTTTTTTTCTGTTTTTTTAAATAACCGAGTATAGATACTTTTTAGGATTTGTGATTTTCTTTCACTATTGGAATCAAGGTGGTGTTTATGGACATGATTACTGTAGCTTCAAAGTTTACACAAAAAAGATGTTGGGGGAAAATCTAATGAATCAAGGCCCCTTAAGATAATAAAACTAGATTTAAAACTAGATAATAAACTCAAAAGTGAATAAAATCTTTAATAATTGTTCCCTTCTTTAGAGTAATTAGCCCTTCATTTTTTTTTAAAGAAAGAGTGAGAGAGGAGAGAGAGAGAGAATTTTTAATATTTTAATATTTATTTTTTAGTTCTCGGCGGACACAACATCTTTGTTGGTATGTGGTGCTGAGGATTGACCCCGGGCCGCATGCATGCCAGGCGAGCGTGCTACTGCTTGAGCCACATCCCCAACCCCAGCCCTTCATTTTTAATATATGGAAACCAATCTCCTAGATTGAGACAATTTCCTATAAATCATCTTTCTATGGTTTTGAGGTTGGACACGGGCAGGAGGATGTTCTAAAATGCAGTTTAGCTCTGAAGGCCTGGGAAGCCCCTTTCTTCTCTACCAGAGATCACTCAGCTGGCACTCTTCTGGGCTCATGAAACCTCACTTCTGAAATGCCCCAATCCAATGTTCGGAGTTTTAGTTGTCAGAAACTGATCTTGCCCCTTTTATGACACAAGAAACATATCCCTTCCACTCTTTTGTCCCAGTCTTTTCTAAATGGAATGGTTTCATTTTTTCATGAGATACTCTGTTCTTTTCCACTGAACTTTCTTCACAGAAGCCTGTAAATCTGAATTTTACCTTAAAACTATAGGCATTCTTCCTCCCTGTGCTGAATGCTCAGTTTCTGTAAATGCAAGCTAATATTAAGGTATCTTATTTTGGCACTTATAGTTTAAGTGTAAACTCACATTATCCTTCAAAAAGAATACTGTTAAGACACATCTGAAAATTTATAGTCAATCCATCATGCAAGAAATGATCTTTTCTCTGTCATTTTACTTTATTTCTGGTGTTTACTTTGAATTAGTTTCTCCTTAGAGAATAAGTTTCTTCTAGTGTAGTTCCTCCCTATGATGGGCTTCACTTTTATTTTTCATTTCTTCATACCTAGGACTGAGGATGTAGCTTAGTGGTAGGGCACTGTGGGTTCAATCCCCAGTACTGCAAAACAAATATTTAGAAACACCTTTTTCCTTCTGTTCCCTCCCTTCCTCTCTCCCTTCCTTCCTTAGTACTAGGGATCAAACCTAGGGTCTCCTGCCCCCCAGCCCATAGACATTAACAAGGTGGGATAAGTTAAAAACTCACACCAGTTATAGAACACATGAAGACATTTACCCTAAGAATAAATTAACTTTGGCTACTGAAGATATTGATAGATTCTCAAATCAAACTTTTTCCATAGTTGATCAGTAGAGTCTTAGGTGTTCAGGACTTATTTTAAAAGGCAGCTGGACTGACACAATATATGGTATCAGAGGATAAAAATTTGCCAAAATACAGAAAGAATCAAATCAAAGCATAATCTGCCAAGTCTTCAAGACCATTTTAGAATTCCTCACGGTGCTTGTAGAACACCTTATTAGATATCAGGGGCTTTCAAACTTTGGTGATTCTTCAACACAACCTGGTATATACTAGGAAAAATCTGATCTAGGAAACTTTTCAAGTGTGATGTTAAATAAGAAACTTAAGACACATCAGAAAATTTATTTATAGTCAATCCACCATGCAAGAAAAAGTGCCACAAGTTGACAGGCAAATGCAAATTTTCAATCCTGTCTTACCAACCACATTGGGATATAAAGGAAGAATAGAATACTCAAGAGTTCATAAATGATCATATTTAACACCTCTCAAAGACTTTGTACAGATCAGGCAGGTTAGCAAGCTGCAGGACATTCCCATCTTCTGTGAAATGTTTAGGAGGCAGAAGGTGTGAGCGGAATGCTTTATAGACAATGTGTTCCACAGTCCACTTCCAGGGGTTTGGTGTGGAGCCAGGTACCTCGCTCTGAAAAACACATGTTAGATGTCATAAGCCTTCCTATACATACTGCCTTCCTGGCAATGGGGTGGGCACTGGGCCTAGACAGTCCTGGTGGCTTGCGATGAACTGTGTTGTCTAAAGCTTATGAAGGAGCCTAGCATCTCAGTAATCCCAGAGGCTTGAACATAAGAGATGAGGTCTTTGAGAGGGCAAAGTAGCCATTGCTCTTGCAGGACCATCTCCTATGGAATCTGTGTGTCCACTCAGGAAGGAATGTGTTGATTATTGCAGGATCTAACATAATGTCTGATCCTTACTGGTGTCTGGATGGCAACATTTGAAGTATCTAACTCACCTTCAAATTTGGGGGTCTGAAAGTAGCTGTTTTTCCAAAACCTCCACAGATAAGAAATGAAAAAAAAAATGGTAATTTTGCTTTATTGTTCCTATGAGAAAATGTTCGTTATCATCTGTAGTTCCTTTCCTTGAGGTACATATTCCCAATCAAATATAACTCTCAGCACTGTATGGTAAGTGTGCTGCTTTGCCTTTTCCACCAGAGTGAGAAATTCCCACGGCTTTAGCCAGAAAGACCCGGGAGTGAATCTCCTACACCTATAAAAAGGCACTGGGGATCCCTGAGTATGCCAACTGTCCTGCAGCTTTCTGACCTGTGACGCACGCAGACCACTTCATCTCAGGGTGACCATGAACAATCACTAAGATGGCTATGCAGTAAAATGGCTATCCTTTAATTTGTGTACTACTTCTACTCCTCTGACCCCTACTACCCCTGAAATACTTGCTGATTGAAAGGGATTATTATCTGACTGATTGTTATTTGTGTCAGATTGACCTATAAGTGGAATTCCAGAGTCTTATTTCCTGGCTGTGCAGCAGCAGACATGGCAGAAATAAAGGGTGACCAGGGAGACATCCAGAATCTGAGGACTTGGGCTGACAATGGGACTCAGGGACCCACCAGCCTTGGACAGTCTGTCTCAATGTGATGGCTTGTGCTTCTACAGTGGACAGTTTCTGAGATCATTCTAGAGGTCTAAGTTCTAGAGAAGCAGAAGGAAAAAAAAAAAAAACTCGTAAATAAAGCTGACCACTGTGTTTGATAAATGAGAACATACCCTGTTAGATATATGAGAACTCAAGATTTTAGAGATGGGCAAGTTTCATCTCTTAAAGGTTGTATAAGGGCTCGTCCCTGTCCTGGAGTGCTAGTGTGCTAGGCCACAGTACCTGTTGGCCTGAGAGGGTCGACTCCTCTGATACGTACTGCTTCCGGATGGAATAAAACATAGCACATTCTTTACTTAAGCTTTCAAAACATTCCTTTTCTTCATCCCAATTTACCTGGTTGAAAGAATTAAAAAACTTAGGTACATGCTTTAAACAATTTCATTTGTAAATGGGGATAATGAACTACTTATAGCTAAAAAATGAAATGTGACTCTTAGGCATTGAAATAGTTGATAAGTATGGCTGGGGACAAATATTGATGTGGCTGATGGAATCTTCATGCTGTTCTACCCTTGTCATCTTGACAGTTCCAAACAAAGGTGCGGTCACATGCCCCGTTTACCCAGAATCTATGCACGTGCCCATATGCTTAGTACCTGCTTATCACTCACCTCTGTAGCTAATCGAAGGATGAAGATAGGCAATCCCTCCAAGGGGGGCACATAATTGTCAATTAGAAGGGGTAATCCAATCAGGTTCCCTTCCTGCTTGTGGGAAAAAGGACAGAAAAGGGGACAAGATTTAGCAAATTTATTTAAACAAAATATAAACAAATTTCATTAGTGCTTCCCCAGTTCTCATCCTCAAAGGTTTCTGGTTACTTGACTGGACTGGGCATGGGAGGAAGATCCAAGCAGTTAAAAAGCTTTTGGTCCCAGTGTACAGCAAAACAACCTTTTATTTGGCTCTGCTCACTAATTAACACATCGAGACAGAAACTCCGTAAGATTAAGAGGTAAGAGAAAGAAACAGAAGCAAGTGGCATAATCTCAAGTATTGAAGCCTGCAGAGCATGGAATTCAGCTCTTCCTTCTGTCTGGATCCCTTTACCATGAGAACAGGAATGGCATAAACAGTTGTATATGTAAGAAATGCAAACAGGGAACAGAGAAGATTTCATTTCTGTCACATGCTGCTTCTGAGGGGGAGCCCAGACTTCTCATCTTGATCTAGGAATCTGAAGAATATGGCAGGGGCTGTATACAACGAATGGCCATCATACCATATCAATTTCCAGAGAGAAATAGTCTGCAAGCATCTCAGCCTTCTTCTTCAGAAACTCAACAATATATTCTGCAAGTCCTTCTTTGGGGCCATCTTCCTCCGTCCAGCCACTCTCAGGACTGTCTAAGGCAAGCATGGCAAGGTCAAAGAGTGGTGCTGGCTCCTAGGAAGGAGTGAGAACATCAAGTGGCAAGCATTAAAAGGACATCAAATTACAAAGCCCAAATTCCCACCAAACCACTGCCAGAAGAGCAGGTGAGATACCACAAATGTTAACATTCCCCATTTCCCTCCAAGGAAGTGCCTGAAGAGTCCACACAAAACCTCTTTCCTCTTTGTCAATGGGTGTTTCAACAGACAGGCTGTGACAGACAAGAGGCCTGCTGAACAGCAGGAGGGCTGAGGCTACCAGCAGGTACTTTTCTTTTATGTAGCTCTAGGGATTCAACTAACACAGTTCTAGAAAACTACTAGGCAGATCATTTCTTTACACTGATTCACCCACAACCAAATCAGGGAGGAGGGAGAATAAATCAAATTGAGCAACAG